CGGAGTAGAAAATGTGGCATTTCTTATCATCTCTTGTCACATTGGTGCGCTGCTGGTGATTGGATTACAGCCCCATGACCACTGACCAATCCGGCGAGACCGAAGACTAATATTTATCAAAACTGCACCTGTACTAATAATTCCCTCCCCGCATACCCTTCCCTCCGTCGACCTGGCAGCGGGCCGGGACGCTCTGCCGCCGGCGCAGGAGTCTGGAGAGCGCTACGGCCATTTCCCAGCATGAGCCCCATCATAAATCGCAGCGTCTGCGCGAATTACTGCCTCCGGCGGCCGGCGGCCGCTGGCACGGGCCGCGTCCGTCCGTCCGCCGGAGGACCCCGCCTGCAGCTCCTGTCCTGTCTGTGAGGGGCTGCCTCGTTGGCCGGTGTTTGATCGGTCCTCTGACCCCACCGGAATGCAGCGACCCGGCTACTGGTCAGAGACTGTCGTCAACTGCGGAGCTCAGGTGAAACCCGACCCTCCGAAAGTCGCCTTGTCTGAGGTCCTGTCCAAATAGCTGAGTCGATTTGTGTCTGCTGTGTCTCTTGGGGCATACACTGCCCCGCGGCCAAAACTCGGCGGCATCACAACCTGACCAGACTCTCATCTGTGTCGGCATCCGAGTTGGCCGACGTGCCAGCTGTCGCAGGTCGGAAATTTAGCACCACTCGGCCGGCTTCTGCAGGGTCCGCCCGCTGCCAGAGTCCCGATCGGTGGCCGCCTGGCTCGGGCCGGCCGCTTCGCAGACGACTTTGGCAGCGCGGCGCCGGCGGCTTATCGTCGCCAATTAAACAGCGGGTTTGTTGTTGCACCGGCGACACGGGCTGGATGGGGACGGTCGGTGACACGACCGGTCGACCTGGCACCTGCAGCCGTCTGCGCCCGTCGACTGCTCTCTGTCCGCGACGGGGCGACCCGGGCCTCTGAAGGTCACAGGAGGACGCGGTGGGGTTGTTCTGCGAGAGAATGGGTACTGGGTAGGTTCGGAGAAGCGGCTTGGACTTTGTTTGAAAGGTGTGTATAGGACATGGATTCGTTTCCATAAGGTAAAGGATTTTGCCGATCTTTTTGACAGGTGAAGGTGCTAGTGAGTCGCTTTATGTTATCCCTAAGATTAGTGATATTGAAAAACTATGCGTTCTTTCTTGTCTTCTCGTTTTCACGCCCTTTCCCCGTAGGTCTGATTTTTATTTTTCTGGCAACTTAGCAAAGTTCCAACCCTGAAAGTTGCAAAACTAGGCTGTGTAACTTCTTCAAGTGCAGCTCGACATAAGTGGGATGTGACATTTTCCTATTCAACCTAGTAGCTTGACTTAAGTTGCTGTGGCTAACTTTATCTCCGGGGTGCAAGGAGACCCAACATGAGCTGTGCCCATGTTGTATTTTTTGCGGCTTTCCATGCACATAGGTAGCAGAAGAAAGCTGCAACTCGTTTTGATCTGAAGCTACTGAAGGCTGAGATGCGAGTGTGACTCAATACCCAAAAACACGACTGATAAGTTTCCATCATGCATGAAATGAATCTAGAAATTTCGTTTGCAGTCCAGGATTCAGGTCATCAGCGCTTACACTACAGTTTATGAGTTCCAAATTCATCTTCCCTATAAAATATCAGTCTGCCTAAATGTTCACACAGTCTAGTCGCTTTGTTCACCATTTTCATCTCCTCGTAGCCAGTATGCTACAGGGTTTTGTGTGGCCATGCTGTTCTCTGTTCCGCTCCGTGGCTTATGACTAACCCGGTCGGCGGTCACCCTGCCTCCTGCATATGCGCCCGCTACACTTCCCGTCTGGCCAGCTGGTCACGGCCCTGCCTCCTATATACCCGTTTCGCTCCCCGTGTGACTAACCCGCTCACCCTGCCTCTTATATACCCGCTCGCTCCGTCGTTTGGCACCGTTCACCACTTTCCTCCGGTACTCAGCGGCACAATATTGCCGAATTTTTGGCCGCCGCCCGGCCGGACGACCGGCCAACCTTGTCTCGTTTCGACACGGTGCTGTGACCGTACCAGAGCTTCAGAGGCATTCCACGGCCATGGACCGTCCGACGGTGAAGGTCATCTGACGGGTCGTGCTCGCTTCATTGCATGGTGACCGGTGATTGAGTCATCCGGGTGTGCGCCTGATGAATGCTGGTTTGGGGACGTGCGCTGTGGATGAAGGGTTGAGGATTCGTTCTGCAGTCAAGCCGTTGTGGACGCGCTAGCTGACCCGAAGAAAGATAGACGCCGTTGAGAAGTCAAGTCCTCAACACCTTTGCATTGCTTTGTAAGGGCTTGCAGAAGAAAGAGACTGTTGTCTTTGTATCGTCGCAGCTCTCTTTCGGCTTACAGCTGTCATGGAGCTGAGGTCGGTACTGGATGTTTTGAGATGACCGTTCTGGCTGTGGTCCAGTCCATTGTGATCTTATTCCTCGGCACACCCAGGTCAACCCGGTCAAACTGGCAGACGGTCATTAACCGGTCTCTGTGACCGACCTGTGACTGCCGAGCCGAACCCTCCGGGGCCCCCTGGAACGTCGAGTTGGCCCCGGCCTCCGTCCAACCTCAAAGACTTCCTCACATGACCACGGAGACTACTGGCTGGCGCGGACGTCGAACAAGGTGTCCGGTGTGCTGCGCTTGTGGGCCATTTCAAAGCCTGGCTTCGTTCTCTTATTTAATTTGTTTTCTTTTATTCATTCATTTATTCTGAAATTGTTCATCTGACCAGAAGTAGTTATACTGGGATATAAAGTTACTTGACTAGAACTATAAAGTTAATATGATTTAGAAACTGCCATTTAGAGGTTAAATGAAATGAGATATCATCAAGCAATGATCTGTCTTCTTCACGTAATCTTTTCTCAGCAATCTTTCACTTAAACATTTCTCTTTTGTCGTGGCGACTGACGATTGTAATGATTCGCTCGGCCACCTTTGCCTATCGTTCCGTGTTTCTGACGCCCCTATCCCGTCCGGTGGATCCGCGACCTCACTGGGTCGCCCGGTGCCAAATACGGGCACGCCGCCGCCGCTGTTCCTACGCGCTCACGTGTCTCCCATGTGGCGGCGGCGGCGGCGGCGGTGACGGTGTCGGCCGCGCTGGGCCATTCCGTCCCGGCGGCGCTAGGTGACGGCCTCTGCTCGAATGTCGTGCCATCCATCGCTTTGGCGGTGGCGCCGATGACGGCGGACGGACGCTGCCAGCTGGCGAGGCCACCGCGCCGTCAGGAGATGCGTGGCAAACCACTAGACCTCCCGGGGCCGGCGGTTATGTAATCTGACGCATGGGCGTCAAGGGAAGATGGAAGGACGTTAAAATTTCCTTTACCCTGGCTGTAGTGCAGAGATTATTGTTTTATTCGAGTTCTGCTACCCGTTATCAAATTTTAGTAGAAATTGTATGTAGTTGTTGCACATTCGCATGCGAAAAGCTGAATGCGTCTTTAGTGGTTTTTCTGCTATCTACATCAAAGACATCCGTGCTTGTACGCCAGAGGCAGACGACGCATGACACGTTTTCATGGTGATGCACGTCCGCTAGTAATGTCCTGACACCGGGCGCGGTGGGCGGACCGCCTGAGGCCCATTTGTGCGGTCACGCCGACGCTGCGTGCCACATCAGCAGGGATGTCATCTGGAGAACCGGTGCGCCCCGACTGGGGTGGACGGCGGCCGCGCCCGGAGACGCAGCTTTTCTTAGCCGCTGGCCGGCCGGCCAGGGTCAGCGGTGCCAGCCGCGCGGGCCGCGGCCGGAGCAGACGAAAGACGATCTGTTCAGCTGCAGGATGTTTCCCCCGACGGCACGTCAGCGTCGCAGCCGTCACCGCCGGCCGGACGGCGGTCGGCGTCGGAGACGACGCCTGGACGTCGGCCAGCGACGGCCGCGCCGACGAGTAACGAGCCGACGGCCGAGCGTCGGGAATGCACCGCGATCGGGTTCCGGCGCCGCCGCGGGTCGTCTGCCGTCGCCCGCGGCGCCGCCTCAGGCCGTTTTTCTTCGCCGTCAGTCGTGGGCGACAGGGGCTGTATTTTTAGCCAGGTGTTACGTTTTCATGGTCACGGCTCTGGGCTGCCTGCTGGGAGCCAAGTGGGCTGCAAATTGGGCGCCACTGAGCCTATGCGATCCTCCCATTCGTTCGGCATGTGTTTGCGCACTGTCGCTCATTCGCAGCACCTGTTTTGTTGAACACCCGTCTTGTGTCTCCACCTGGGAATGTGCGTGCCGGTATGGGCACCAAGTAGGTCAGGAGGCACGCACACCCGGTGGTCGCCGGGCGCCTCGGCGGCTGTGCTACCCGTGTTTCACGCACGGGTCCGACAAACGCACTGCTAACCCACCCAAGCGTGGAACACAGCCAAGTTTGTGCGGTTTCTGCGCGCAGCCGGCCGCCCTTCGGTGGCGTAAGCAGCTTTTTACAAACATTTGGCGCCAGGTTTACGGAAAAGTCACAATAAAGCGACTCCCAGCCGTGATGCCCTCAGGTCCGGGTGGAAATAGTCCCGCCGGCGTACACAGGGCCGCTGTGTCAATGGCCCGCACAGCGGCGAGTCGGGATTCTGATCTCACCCGGCCGCAGACCGGATCGATCTGCAGTCATTAGTCGCTGTTTAGAGGAGAGACACGTTCAACGAATTGGAACCATCGCTTAATTGCTTGTGGGTTGTGATTCTGTGATTGTAGCTTTGTGCTGCATAAATGTTTGATGTGTTTTATGAGTCATTTTTCTTAACGTTTAACGCATACGATCGGCACACCACTGCAGTTTCAGTTTTGTGCATGTTCGTTTTCAGTTGTATGCGAAAGTCTGTATCGATGATGAATTAAATGAGACTTAGAGGACGAAACAGCCTAGTTCCTACTCCTAGATTGTTGGCATGGGCAATAGACATACATTCATTGTTTTCTACATGAAAACTCCTACCTCGCTAACTAATCAAAGTGGTAAAACGATGTCGCCCTTCGTCATTGTTATTCGTTCCGATTTGACATTCCTGATGTTTCTGTGTATTGCAGTGCCAAGGACGTAATGCGGGTGTTCAAGAAGGACAAACGCTACTCAATCGCGCAGTACAATGTACTGAAACACTCTCCTCTAGTCAGAACTCTACTCTGGTGAGAAACATCCTCGTTTTAGGGTTAACGGGATTGCGATTTTTTTATTCCGTCAGAATAGCTTATGTTTTCTCACGTCACAAAACTTAGGATTCAGTTATTATGTAATTTCCAGGGGCTTTACTTGAATTCTATTACAATCTTTGCTGAATACCTAAATGTAAACAGAAATAAGCAGACTTGTATGTTACATAACCATTAACCATACTTTATGTATTTTATGGGTGAAATATTTGTTTGTTCAGTTGGTGGTAATTCAATGCGACAATCCTAGCCAGTATTGTTACGATGTGCTGCCTCTGAGCCTTGTTTTACCATTAAATTATGTTTCTTCCTTCCAACACTATAGCACATCCTAAAGCCCTAGATCGTTGCTGAGAGCCAGCCTGAGCTTCAGAGACCGGCCCATATACCACTACTCTCTCATTCCATGGTATTAGCCTCGTCAGCCGCTGATACCCAATCAGGAGCCGGCTCGACTGCGCCCAGTAGCTAACCTCACGGTGTGACTCGTCCCCTGAACAGGTCCAGTGTGCTCGTCAGCGGTCTGGGCGCCGCATTCCTGCTCGTACAGCTGCGGAAGTGATCTCCGACAGCAGATCTCGGCCAATGATGACGTCACAATGCAGTGCATGACGACCTCTGTGCGCTGGTTGTTTTTTTTTATGGACTTACGTCGGTTGTTTGGGTGGTGCAATGTCTTGTATCGGCTGCTGACCAATGCACCTGACTGTGATATTGTGGTATTTGTATGAAAAATATACGACGTTACCTTGTTATGTGTCTTTCCTGAAGAGTGGTTAGTTTTTCTTCACGTAGCATCTTGAAAAATAAGACTCAATTTGAAAGTTATGGCCTGATTTGTTGATGTTTTATTTTCTAATGCGTTGGTTGGGTTCCAGCGGTGCACCGCCCACAAATATCCGACTAGATATAATTCAGGGTTTCCTTAGTCATCTATCAACTAGCTAGGTCGTAAATTTACCATGTTCGTAAGCACAGGCGACTCAACTTTCAATATGCTTGTTTTTGTTTTTACTTGTGTTGGTCCTTACGGAAATGACATACAAGTATGTACCTGAAGGAAACTACGTTTTACGGTCGCGCTAAGCCATTCCAAGATATCGTATTGGATCCCACGTTTCTCTTATCGAAAATCATTCAACACTGAATGGTAAAGATCAAATAGAACATACCTACCGATACAGACACACAGTTTCTGCTTAAACCTGAGCCATTCTTCGTCGAAAGAATGGTGCATTTCTGGGAAGTGTCAGTCGTCAGCGGCCACCCTGCCTCCTCTCCGACTCCCCGGGAGTTTTGTGTGGAGTCGTGGACCGCCCGTGGCATGCACGATGTGTTGTTTGAAGTAGTTCTCCACGCGGTGGTCTCGTGATCGTTTGCCAGAGCTCCCCTCTCGAGTCGTGATTTGGTCATAGGGAGACCGCTTGGAAGTGGGGTGCGCAAAAGACGCGTATTGCATTGTTTTCTCTCTTGAACATGACTTTTCTCTCTGGTTTTAGTAACCTTTGAAACCGTGCAAATGACTTTGGATTGGCCTTTTTACTCAACTCCATTTTCATTCAGAATGATTAGCACACGCATGTTCACATTCGCCCTTTCATACTGTTCACATTCATGCTTCAGACTCGCTCTGGACACCTGGGTCTCTCGTCGGGCGCACTGGGTTGACTCTCTGGTCCCCGCTGGGCCTCGGGAGCCTGCCGCAGGGCCGCGGTCCCCTGAACCGGCCTGGAGCGTTCTGTCCAGGCCCGCCGAGCCGAGGTCACAGCTGGGTTGAACTTGGCACAGGGACATATTACTGGCAGCGACCCATCCAGGCGGCCGCTGCCAGCCGCTCCGCTCGGGAATAGACGTGGACCAGGCCGCGACATGACTCATGGCCAGCGCTGTGTCGTCCCTGGCGATTTATCGGCCCCTCGGAAGAGCGCCGAGCAGCCAGGTGATGGCTTAGTAGGTCAGCTTTATTTATTGTGAAGATAAGTAAATGAGTGAGGTGTCATGAGAGATACAATGTACGGGTATCAGGGGCAGTATAGCTCTTAGGAAGGATTTTAGCAGTGTAGCTATGCCTTCATGGTGAAGTATCGCTTTTTCGTTTCAGTTACATGCTTCGAATAGTGTGTGTTTGCCAAGATGACCGTCAACTGGAGAAAAAAACTACTTTGACTCTTATCGAATTAAAATAAAATCCAAAGTTCGCTTTTTAAATGTTTGCTTTTGCCAAAACTGTCCTCCATTAACCCTATTAGTGGCAGGGGGGGTTGTTTTTATCCACCCCTCAGGTTTTTCGGGAATATCTCCGAAACCGCTGAAGCTACGATGCTGAAATTTTCTGACTTTTCCTAAAACTAAATTGGGCACATTCCCTGAAAATTTCAAGTTCATAACTTTACCAGGGGCGGCTCCAGAGCACTGGGAATTGGGGGGTCCTATTCGTGAAGCGAGTCATTTGGGCGAAGATCACGATGCTGCACCAGTTTTACGAACAGTGAATAAAAGGTATCATGTGATAACATATACAGTTATTGTGCATCCTCTTTTGACACGTTTTTGCTATAATAGGCGGATCCAGGCGTCCAAAAAGGGGGGTTATGTTTTACCTCCCAACATAGGTGCCCTGACACCGCCTATGCATTACCAATACAATTTTAGGCGTTCTCTCATAAGAAAAATATAACATAACAAGACCATTACCACCCTTTTTAGAAACAGTAGGGGAGAGTGGGGTGGGTTGTATCAGTTTTTACTCCGAGACCCATAACCTCGTAACTATCCGTGATAAACTCATTATTTCCATACTATCCCCTTCCTTGATTCTTCTGCTTTTTTGTGCAAAGTAACTTTTCTGCTACCTCTACCAGTTTTTCTTCTACGGTCTCCCGAATAGAACAATGTTTTTGATACAACTTGCCCCATGGCTTGGGTGAGTTGTATCACATGGTGGGGTAATTTGTATCACTATTTCACGTTTCAGGGAGTGTGCTTCCTATTGGTTTTGAACATAACAACAACATTAAATGGGGTTAATACAATGTATAGGTATGCTCAAAGGCTTCACTTTATTAGACCAAACTTAGGTCAATGCAATCCGAACGAAACATCAACAGACTAGACGCAAAAGTGGCCCGTTAAGAGCAAAGAAGCCAACACATTGTGCCGGAATGGAACGAGCATTGACTAGCTACCTACAAACGCGAGCCAGGGCTTAGCTTTCGCGATCAAAAGCAACATACCCATACATACATACATACATACATGTTACAACATACCCCACCCGGCTCTGATACAACATGTACCTAGCCGCCATCTTGGAAAAAAACATCCTCGTACTAAAAAAACAGCGGACAGCTGGAGAAATCCGTTTTCACTCACGCAGCCTTAGAACCTACCCTCACCACCGCTACGGAGATCTTTCAAATTCGTGCACATCTAAATGCCCAGAACACACATTTTCTTGCAACTTATTTTTTTAGAATGACATTAAAAAAACATAAAATCGGCTCTCACCTCGAGACGCGTCCACTCAGCCACAAGACAGAACAGGGAAAGATGGCGCCCGGAAAACCTCGTCGGCTGGTCGTGTCGCGAGCGCCATCCATTGGATAAGTTTGGCACAATTCGCCCTGATACAACTTGGACATGATACAACTCACCCCGCTCTCCCCTACCAACAAAAACCTTATTTACTATACTTTTTGTGTACCCCCAATCTCAATGATCTGTATCCGCCTATGATTTTTGAAAATGCATATTTTTAGGATCCATGTGAATTCCTGGTTCATTCTCTATCGATCGGCAAAAGTTGCGTTAAGATTGGTTCAGAAACCTGGCCGTGATAAACAGGCTAAAATGTATCTGCAATTTGCCCGTTTTTACCCCCCCCCCCTCTACCCCCCTATTGACATTTTTTAATTTTTATTTTTTAGAAATGTAGATCACGTTGAGCGAAATCGAATGCCGTTTGAATTTTGAAAATCGGCCCGTTAGATCACGAGATATCAAGGGGGGTCGTAAACAGCCCCCCCTGCCACTAATAGGGGGTAGCCAGGAGCCTGCCACTAATAGGGTTAACAGAACTACCTATGAAGTAGCATTTTTTACTAACTTTTCTCACATTTGAATTTAACCTGGTGTAATTTCGTTACAAACTGCGGCACCTCGTTTTACCTACACTATGATCAGTTTTACACTATGATCAGCACTGCTTTATATGTGAACAAGTATGATAGTGGCGATCATTTTTGATGCGCTGCCGTGCGCCGATGACGGTCAGTTTTGGCGCGCCGCCGTGCGACTGGTTCGTTTTGGCGCGCCGGTGCCGCGATATCAGTGGTGCGCCGCTGATGGCCTGTCGGCGGCCGCGGATGGTCTGCATCTATCGATCTCGGTCTGATCTGTCCCGAGCTGCGGCCTCTCACTGCGGCCGGCTGTTGCCGAGAGCGGGGTGGGGTGTCACCGAACAGAATTAGTGACCGCCGCCCTGCCAATGTCAACAGATCGACAGGTCAGCCGCAGAGGAACCAGTCGCACCGACTCCTCCGCCGAAAATGCGCCAGCTGAACCAGCCTGTCACCGTATTTTGTTACAGTGTAAATGGTCATGCGGAAGAGTCCTTGGTAATAGATCATAGGACCCATGCGGATCACGGGATCCATCTTTCAAAAATGGCGTGAAGGTGGTGGCGCTCGGTCATTTTGTTCGTGAAATAGAAAGGTTAGAGAAAGACGAAAATTTGGAAACGGGTCCAGACTCTAGGCCTCAGTCATAGGGAGAGTAGAGGGATGAAGAGGAAGATGGAAGAGAGAGAAAGGGGGAGAGAGTCTATGCCCCGATCTGAGTCTTCGGTTCCCTTTCCAAGGCATGTGATCGAATCACTTCTTCTGCCAAATCGGTCCGGGAATGGTGACCCACCTCGCTTGGTGCAGGCGCCGGGGCGGTGACCACTGACCACCCGACGGTCTGCCAACGGCTAGCGCTGGTGTTGCAAAACCTTGGCGTGCTATTGGCCTGGCGTTCGGGAGGGGCGACAAACGCGTTTACCAGAGCATGTTTGTGATTCAGCTTTGGTCTCCGATTGACTGGTGGGTGCGAATTGTCAGAAGTGAGCGGTGTAAGAAATTAAGAATACTTGCTTGGGACTTTTTCTAACAATTTTCGTGCGTATTATGAATTATGATTTACGTATGATTGAAATATATTAGATTTTTTATTATCTTTTTATCTCAAACGAAACAGGAAGTAGGTAATAACGGGAAAATAATGTGATAACTTTTTATGAGTGCTGCCAAAGAGTGAATTGTGAAACCAAGAGGGTTCGTGACTCGTGTAATTTCTTCAACATCATATAAAAAATATGTTTGATAATCAGAGTGAGGTATTTCATGCCTATCATTGCGAAATTTTGAACCGATTTTGATACCTAATAAATTTATCTCCCGTTCCTTAACCCTCGCCCGTATTGGTGTTTTTCCAACCGCGAACTATAAGGGGGGTCCGTTGGAACGTTTCGCCCCTGATCGAGCTAGAGCTTCGCGGAAAAGACGAGCGTTTTGCCCGTGACAAGAGGAAGCTGATGATACCTCATTGTAAGGTCCTAGGTCATCGGTTGACCTTCCAGGTCAGGTCAATGACCCAAAAGTCGGGAAAATCGGGACCTGTTACTGTTATAACGTCGCAAAGTGTGACTGCTATGGGATTTTTCGGGGTGCTGATCACGAATATCAAGTTAGTTTTGATCACAGATGATGTCTTCATGCATGTCTTCTTCCCTTTATCCTATCCTTAGTTCTTCATTTAGACCCGCGACCTTGAGTCCCATGTCGTAAATTCGCCTGCTGACGGCGGCCGTCCAGTTGACAGATATGCACGGCGGCCCATGTCGGTGTCATTACGGCGTATTGTCGCGGCGGCCCAGATTTGTCGCCCCTGGCGGCTGACAGCCCAGACGACCCGCAGCCTCCCAGATGTATGATGGGTGCTTCGCCGTGACGGCCACCGGCACTCGCGCCACTGCACCCCGTGTTTTAGTTGGAAACCCTGTCACATGCGGTTCTTAGCTATGAATAGCGAGCTGAGCTTATTTTGGATCAATGCCACATCTAAGCTTTGTCTGAGATGGCGCTCGCTCCTGTCACCGACCACTGCCAAAATATCCGCCCAATTTGCTTTGTCTCAGGTGTCAGCCGCGACTTCAGAATTTGAAAGTGCATATTTTATTTTGGCAGCATGTGGATGCAACGTGCAAATGCATGTACGTTCTACAGGCACTATTTTTTGCGAAGAAAAACTGACTGACATAATTACGTTTTTGGTAGGCTCGAATCGGAGTTTTTTTAATATTTTAGGTTACTTTCGTTGATAGTTGGTATATCCGTGCTGTTGCAGGAGCTAACTAAGGGATGTTCTATTTACTCTGAACTTAAGTACCTACGCAAAATAATTTCAGACGGAGGAAGCTTGGACCTGTTTAGAGCCTTTTCGCAATAGCAATGACTTGATTTGACACGATCAATTATCACACAACCAGGGTGGGTGGGTGTTGATCCGGCCCCTGCAGCCCCTGCACCATCCCCGCTCTCTGCGTCTCTGCACAGGCGCTTGCACACTCAACGTGTTGAAGCATCTGCCTTACTTCGCTACCGCACGACTGCATTGCTGGCGAGACGCGTGTCGTGCGGCACAGCATACCTTCCGGCGTTTACCACTGGCGCCATCTATGAGCGAGGCAGAAAGCTTGAGCGGTCCCCACTCCCCACGCCCAGTCCCTGCCGCCGGAACAACGCGGGACTTCCGGGCTGCTCGAAGCAGCGTTGAACGTTGTAATTCAGCCGACGGTGTTTTGGAAAACGTTGTTTTGTCTTATTCAATCGACTTCGAAGTTCGAATACGCCCCGACAACATGGATCGGGGATAAGATAAGCGTCATGGAAGAGGGTACCTTTTAGCCGTTTTCACAGCGATTATCTGGTAAAAATTTGGTCCACATTTGGTGCAGGTCAAATAAAGCTCACAGCTGTTTTTAGTAGGTTTCCAGCTCCTAAGAAGATCATAATCGTTGATCATTAGAATGACTTATCAAGTTATCAGACGTTAATTTTCATTAAAACATGTCTTGGTCTTGGTTCGTAGGGCTGAAAATAGTTTCGACCGTGTTGTCGACCACGGTCTTTCACCAGATCATGTTACGCCAGGGGTGAAAAATTGTATCGTTTTGTCGTTGTCGACGACAACCGAGAAGACGATCTTATGGCGACCACGCGCCGCGCCTGAACTGATTAAGACCTCCCGCTTAGTGCGATTAGAAGCGCGCAATCCATCCGCCTCTGCCCACCCAACCCAAACGCCTCTGCCCACGCAAACTATTCTCTGTCCCTCCCCATCACATCGACTCGCAGTTCTCGAGTCCGTTACCTCCCGTACGCGGCGGCATCCCAGTGGAAAATTTCCTGGTAGCTACAGACATATTCCAACTCCCCGTAGCTATTTAGTATATACTGCGTCGTTCGACCATCGTTCAGACGGCCGATCGGCGACCCTCATAAAGACGACCAATGGCATACCAAGTGGTCGCCGTGGTTGTCCACTGGCAACACGTGTCTGGCAAATCTAGTACATTCCAGGACTCGGCCGGCCCCTGCCCGCACCCTTCAGCGCCGCCCCCGGCCGGCGGCCAGTTAGCGTCCCCTCTAATCCGCCGGGGCTCTTTTGTGACGTCAAAACCCACCCCGGTGGCGCCTGGGGGTAGGTCCGCGGCGGGACATCTTGAGGGACCGTGTCAGTGCCAGTAATGTTTTGGTGAGGCCGAGGGGAGGGCACGCCATGTCATGCCCACGAGGATATGGAGGCTCAGGACTTCACAGGTCGAGGAACACGGATCGTCGGACAATTGAGCCTGACGGCTGAGCGCCCTGCGCTATCAAAAAGGAGTGGAATTATACCTAATATATTCGCACGCAGGGTACGTGGCGTCTGCACGACTGAAGTGTACCAACTTGAGCACGTTTTGTTCAAAGGTGAGTGGAAGTCGACCAGTGGCACCGTCGAAGGGTCACCGAAAGGGTCAAAAAGGCTGTCTAATCTTTTCCGCGGCGCTGTACAGCTCTATATAATTGGTTCCCGAGTTGTGCGCCGGTGTTAAAAAACAAATTGAAAGGCAATATCTTTCATGACCTCCGGTGACCTGACCTTTGACTTAGCCTATAAAACGAATGTCATATTTTCGCCCTTATTTTGGACGTTCTTTCGAATGCCGTTTACTGCTTGTCACTACGTGACCCAGGATCCGAGTTAAAAGGGCGGGGTGTTTGACCCCCCCCCCCCTTCCGAGCAGGGCGTGGAAATCAAGGACCCTCAGCGGGCGCGGGTTAGACATCTTGAGTTGACAACCAAATAAGCCCGTTTTCCTTTGGACGACAACCACCGAAACACTTTTTCCAGCCCTGTGTTACGCATGACTAGCCGTAATGGTAAAGCCACGTTTGAAAAACATTGCGCCGAATGACGCCGACATGGGGGCCGAAAACTAACGGCCCCACCCATAAGAAGGCAAGGCTTTCATGAACATCTCAATAACAGTCACCAGGCAACGATAAGTTGCCATAACCAGCTGCACCAGCTGAACGATTGCTTTCAAATTTTATCCGATTGACAACGCTATCAGCGTGTATGATGCGTGTAGCTCGGGTTATGTTTGTCCGTGCCCTCAAGTCATGTGAATTCTGAGACCCACCCATTAGGCATTATTCAATGAGAGAAAATTTGACTTTACCTTTTCGGACAAAGTCCATGCCTAAATCGACTGTCGAACATCGTTTATCAGATGAGTGTACTGTTAAATACTAAATTAAACATTGCACCATTGACCTCACCTTATATAACCCTGAAGTCATCTTAGGTCGTGAAAGATCTCAAGCAGTTTTTTTAGACGTTATTGAGCCATCCTAGAGCAATGGAAACACCTTGAAAGTGTTAAGCTGAACGATATAAATCGACTGTGACTGATATGTATTGCGTTACCTTGTACCGTGTGTACTGTTCGGAAGGTCATGGCCTTTACCTAAGGGTTGTCATTGTCATGTCATGTCATTAGGGGGTGCCTAATGATAAGGGTCCAAAATGACAGGTGTACCAAAAACGTTGGCGCTGCACGTCGCCGTTTTTTTTTTTTTTAGATATTCGCGAGAAACCTGGGGGGAGGGGCGTAAAAAGTTCCCCCTATGCATGGCGCGGGATATGTTTATTGTGAATAATTACATGAGTTGGAGGCTGGGGCTTTGAGATTCAGTTTATTAGGGGATAGTGGGGTAAGACGGTCAGGGTAGGTAAGACGGGCATCCCTTCTGCAGACCAAACCAATAGCGCTACGGGCGAGAAAAATTAGGACCAGAATTGCCTTTCCCACTACACACCACCATTGAAGTCTGGTGAATTTGCGTTCAGTCGATAATATTTTATTTGATTTCTTTAAAACACTCGTTTCATTAAAAACATCCATAGTGTATTGTGCAAGCTTTTGTGTGCAGCACTATAGAGTTGAGTTAAAAACTCGCAATCACTTGTGGTACACTCATATGCCACAGTGTTCATTTACCGCGGATTTGCTTTGTCTGCATCAAATTGTCCACAGAGAAAAATCGTGCTGAACTTTTGACATTGAGTTTGGGGTAAGACGGGCAACTATGAATCCAATGGGTCTGTACCTAATGGTAAAAATATTTTTGTTGCTGTAGGAAAAAAAGAAGCATTTCTAATAAGATTATGTTCGATTCCGATACTCAAAGACATGTTAGCAATATTCCTTCGGCACATTTTATTCTCGAATAATGAATGTGAAAAGCGGTTGTACATGGCTTCTGAACTAGGGCCTATATACGAGCATACGCCTTCTGCACGAGCCACGAATCTCGCATACCCACTGGCTGCCATTTCCGAAAGTTGAGACCAACGAGCGACTGTATCAATGCGGCTGAGCTCGGGCATTTGTTGCGAGCTGTGCTGGTCGGTGAAAGAAGCTGGTCGTCTTGCCCTACCTATGTGACCGTCTTACCCCATGGGGTGGGGTAAGACTGGTTTTTGCAAGGTTTTGCAAAAATATCTGCAGTTTATTTGTTGAATCAGATCTAAGTCTCATCTTCTGGCAAATGGAAGTAAAATGTCTAAAAAAGGTTTTCACTCAGTTTCCCGTTCCTATGATGTTTCTAACCGGCCACCCCACTTCCCCCTACCTACATAGGTAGGCATTGGAATTGCCCCTATATTATGGAAAGGTGGTTTCAACAGATATCTTATCATGTTGAACATTCTTACGAAAGTATTTTTACTTTCAAATCGCTACTTTAGGCAAGTGACACCCCGGGTCACTCTCCAAACCATCACGTTTGAGAACCCCTGGTTTTTGGCACGCTCGCGGAGTCGTCGGTTCCAAGTTCTAAGTTGACCGTATTCACCAATGGTGACGTCAGCCGCATCAGCCAATCACAGCTCTCCACATTGGCCTCGTCTGCATCTCGTGGCGAGCGAGGGGGCGACATTCGACGATCGGCTGAGGCAAGTGGTTGTCCTCTCGCGTCTCGCGCCTGGAGTTTCGTGTGGGACAGTTGACCCTTATGTCAAGTCGCGTGTAGGTGATGTGTTTGTTGTAAAATATCGTAAGTTCGTGAAGTGAAAGCTGAACTCTGCATTCTGAGACAATTGTGGCGCCGTTACAGGATCTTCGGTCCGTTACATCGCTCGGTGTGGCACCCTACTATACATAAGTACTGAGGACAGAATATGCGAGTATAATAAGTGACTTTTATGTATTTCAAACAAGCCCACATATCAACATTAAATATTGGTGGCACCCAATGCTTGATGGAGCTTTGTACTTATTGACAAGTCTGAAGTCGGAAGCCTCCATGTCAACATGCAACTGGAACTCATGTTGTGCTGCATCAACATCAGCAATCTTTTTCGACTGGACTTTTCTCACTTCTTCACCTTTCTAGTTTGACGCTTTAGTTTGGCTTGATTGAAACACTTGGTAACGACTAAGGATAGGGGCTAAACTCTTGCTTCATTGCCATTATATCTCGTAACTTGTTAGTTCAGGATGGGCTGAACTCCATGCTAATCAAATTGTAAAAACTTAAATAAGTACAATTTTTGATTGTTCAGAAGCAGTGTTCTCTTCTATCTCAAGCAGATTAGAAGTAACATTGATGTGATTGACATTGAAAAATGAATGAAAGACAGCTGCTCTGTTTTGGGTACCTAGTCAGAAAGCAGGTGTCACACTTGTTTCTTGCAACTAAGGAGAGGTGATGCCATTATACTCAGAGATGCTTTCTAATGAAACCAAACCAAACCTACCCAAACCTGACCTAACCCTACCTACAATCTACAACCTAGTCCTACAACCTAAAACCTACCACCTAAAACCTAAAGCCTACAACCTACAACCTCACCTACAGCACCCCTCCTTGGTTGTATTTCACATTACTACTTAAATGCTACCCTGTTTTGCCGACTTATTTTGTAACAATTACTGCTAGTATTTGATTGCTTATTACATTGGCCATTTTTCTTTGTCAATGATTTTTATTATCTTAAAGGCAGCATGTTTCCTCCTTTTTCCAGTTGCAATGTGATTTATTTTGATAGGAAATGGAAATATTATGTTTGTGTGGTAGTTTCTGTATGTCTACATTGCACTTAATTGGTGTCCCAATTTTGAAGGATATGTAAGTGATCTAATACCTAGCTATGAAGTTAAATAATTAGTTTAATAGTATGCTTCTAGGTTACATGTATTTTATTGCATTAAAAGCTTATTTCCTACCTTTCATTTGGGTGTATTAATGATACTACTTGAGGAAACCAAGTAGCTGTAATTATCATGGAGATGAATCTGAAGTCTGAACATTCGCTTTTCCATGTTATAGTGTTTCATTGCCAGTATTTTGTTTTCATAGAGGGGAATGTTTTATATTCAAGTCAAATTTACTATGCTCTAATAGCCATGAAGTACCACTACCTATGAACTTGATATTTTTGTAACTCTGTTCAACTCTTTCTGTTTTCTGAGTTTTTTTTCTGTTTTCCACTGCATCCTCTTTATCATCCCTTATCTATACTGGTCTGTGTGTTATTATTTGGAGCCACACAATAAGTAGGAAAAGTAATGGATACTCTCAAGGCCAATAATCCCTTCAGACTGTTGCATGGAATGACATATTCATCATTTGACATCACATTTGAGTTATGGGATACAACAAAATCAAGTAACTGGCTGAGACCTGACATTCTCACCATGAGACTGGCCTTTAATAATCAATGATTGCCTATCTCCCAGAAGGACAAGTAGCAAATTAGAAGCATCGAAGCCTCAAGTACAGGAGCTAAATTATGAGACTTTAAGGGTGACAGTGTTAGTTTTGTTTCATAGAAGTGAGAAATTTGTCTATAATGAATGATTAAGAGTCAAACATTCATGGTGGTTGGATGTTTTGCACCTAATTTTTCCATTCTGTAGATCCAAGGAGCACAAGCTTTTTAATAAAAAATAACTAAAGCTTTGGACCCCAGGTCTCAACTACTCAACCTGGGGCTGATGAGTAGAGACGGACTGCTCTCCCGCGAAGGGTCGGGCCCGGGGCTCAGCCGTGTGCTCTCGACCGTCGGAGGTTACCGGGTCAGGCGGGTGGTTATCGCGTGGCCTTGCCTCCACGCGCTCGCCGTCGTGGTCGCCTCAAGGCGTGTGTAAAAGATAGCGAGAGTTCACGAGGCTTGACTGCCTCTGTGGGTACCTACTCGGCTGCCTTAGAAATTATTTGACCAACGTCCTTATCTGGGTGTGTGGATCAGACTCAACTGTGAATTATTATGAAGATAAGTTTTGTCCATATGGGATTTAAACCTACGACCGTTGTAGTTGCTAACGAACGACGTAACTTGAACCATTAGTTCGCATATGTTTTGGTCAGAAGACAACTTTGGTGAGCTCGTCATTTTCGTCGCCCAACTTACTGAAACCTCTTAACATTGACTACCCCACCGCGACCGCTTTTTGTGTGTCTACTCGGGTTCCCTGACGTCCTTTTTGGGCGTCGCCCGGTGTCGTCAGCTGCCCGATCGGGACGGAATCCACAGTTGGTCGCCAAGTGTCGGCGTGTGCCAGCCGCCGCCGCCGGGCGCCGCCCCCTCAGTCGGCTGCCCCCGCTGACCGCCCCTCTCCCCTCTGTGGCCAACAGCGGGTGCAGCTGATTGTACGAATCGGCTCGGCGCGCGCGTGGTCGGCGGTGCTTGTGTGTGCGAGCGAGCGACTGGGCGGAGCGGGCTGAGCGGCCTCCGAGCCGACTGCCGCCATGGAGGACGGCCATACCAGAACGGTGGCCGAGGTCGAGCGCTACTTCAACGTAGACTCCGAGCGCGGCCTCAGCGAGGACCAGGTCAAGCGGCACCAGGAGAAATATGGCCCCAACGGTATGTGACATCGGGAAGAAGGGGTGGAATGGGCTCAAGGGAGAGAGTGGTGAATGATGGTGGGCATAGTGGAATGGCATATCGGTTTTGTTTAATCTACTCAGGGGTGGTTAAAGTAGTAAGTGTGTATCTGGCATTGTGCTTTCGGTTTATACGTGATATATTTGGAACACTTCTATTATACTATAGTTCGTTTTTCTTAAGTTTGCCCCTCACTGTAAACGTCTTTTTGAACACAGCACGAGAATTGCTAGCTGAATTACTGAGAAAACTGGTTGGCGCACATTGTATTGGAGATATGAATAATATTTTCAAAATAAGTTTTGAACACCGACGATGTAACGTTAATGTTAAACGCCGTGCAATTTATTAATTAGTTCAGACATGATTCCTGAGAAGTCGTCTATCACTGTGGAGCTGTAGGTATGGGTAAATACGAGCTATGAGTCTGTGAAATAGTAAACAAATTTGATAAAATTGATCGTCTGTGAAATCTGGTGAAATCAATGTGCGCCAACCAGTTTTCTCAGTAATTCAGCTAGCAATTCTCGTGCTGTGTTCAAAAAGACGCTTACAGTGAGGGGCAAACTTAAGAAAAACGAACTATAGTCATTCGCATGAAAGGGAATCATGCATTTGCCTCTCCATTGTTAAATATTTTCGTCATTAAAAAAGGTATTTGGAAGTGTACAGAACAGCAACTTGTTTTTTGATCATTTTTTTGTGCTGTATTGACATGTTTTCTTTCTCTTTTTCAGAACTCCCAGCTGAAGAGGGTAAGTTTTTACATTCATATAAGTAAGGCGTATGACGTAGCAAGAGCTGCACTCGTTGACTTATTATATATTATGTTATATTCAGTCCGTCTTGTTCATGCTAATTAATTCATTTATGCAAAGTACTTTCAGATCAAGTTTCAATGCTCCCATTCATTGGCATGTGTCGGTTGCTGGCAATTGGCACAACTGATTCAGCATTCGCCTTTCGAATCTTATTGCTGCCACGACCTTGACATTTTCGCGGACTGAATAGCTCTCGTCATTCCTGCCACCCCGAAACGACTGCCGTGGCGGCACGCCCACTAACGTCCCCCTCCCCCTCCGCGCGCCCGCAGGCAAGTCTCTCATGGAGCTGATCCTCGAGCAGTTCGACGACCTGCTCGTGAAGATCCTCTTGTTAGCCGCCATCATCTCTTTTGTGAGTATTCCCGTGAACGTGGGTGCGGGTTGGGAGTGCCCGGCTCTCCCGCGGTTTGTTGTTGTAGTAAGCCTTCGGTGTGTGCTCTCTGAGAGTTTGGTAAACTCCTTTGAAGCTAAAAATAGGCCGATGTCGTCACCTGCAGACGTTACGTGGCCTTAACACGCTCGCTGTGCCCTTGAATGCGGGACGTAATAGATGCTTCCTCTTCTAAGATGCATGGATGATTGCGCTGAATGCGTTGTCGGACAATGCTGCGCTGGGTCATTAACAGTGGTCTCCGGTTACATTCCTTACCGAACGTTACGCTATTCGCCCGGCTTCATGGGACACTAAAGCTGCATCAAACGATCGCCGCCTAGCACGTCTCTTGAGTAGCGGGGACCACCTATCTAGTAAGAGAGATTTTGCAGTAAACGGGATCCCAAGTTAACGGTGTTTCGGGAGGTGGGGGTTGCTGATTGTTTTCTCCTTAGTGGTTGGAAGGGAGGGGTACCTCTACAATTTTGATATTCCATGAACAGGGCGGGCACCTATTTTTGCAATCATGGCAGTGCATTTTTTATTAGACTGGGTTCTGTTCACTATAATTAGTATCTCGTAACTCTTAAAGAATCAGTCTTCACGAAACGTAAATAGAGTCTGCAAGAATTATGATGTTTGACTGGCACGAAGTCATGATTATGTTGATGTGTGTATTTTCGCTGTTGCGCGCGCATCCTACATTTAGCCTTCCTGGAAGGGGCTGGCGGTGCAGTGGCTGGCCTCATAACTGGAGTTGGCAGCGCTGCTCGCTCCCTGCAGTGACCCTCGCCCGGGCTGCCAGCCGCGGCCGCCGTCTGTCGGGGGCGATGACAGGCGGCGGCCCTCACCTGCGGTCGGATTGGTCTGGTCTGGCGCAGACCCAGACCCGCAGGTCGGCTGTCTGGTCCGGTCTGTCACACCCTGTCCTGCCTGCCCTGTCATTACCTGTCCTCTTGGGCTGTGTAGCCTTGTTCTGGGCTGTTTGATGAGTTGCTAGGGTACTATAACCTTGTCATTGTGAGCTGCTTGGCATCGGTTCACCTCTTTTCCAGAACCAGAAGAAATGCTCTCCCATCCTGGCAGCCTTAAGCATTTCGTCCCCGGTAGAGATCCCTGAAATCTCTGAAATTCAGATGTCCTCGTTCTGCGAGTCACCAGTGCCCTGCTCTGTTCTTCCCTGTCCTGTGCCAGTCCGTCCTACTCCTGACAGACCATGGCGGCTCGTTATCTATTTATTTATGGTTTTATTTCTGTCGAGCTGGCGCTGGGAGTTGGCCAACAGTGTCGGTCCAGCTCTTTGCGGCGGGTCCTGGCTCGCCGCTGGGTGCCCCCCTCAGATACAGACTCCCTCTGTTCAGCCTCCTAACCAGCGCCAAACCAGGTGTGCGCGCCTGTCTGTGTATGGGAGGAAGGTGTAAATGTTACCCGAGGCGCCTGCGGCCGATTACCTAGACATCTCGAAATGGGGGTTCGGTGATTTGGTTGCACTGTTTATGTTGACTGATGATCAGGGATCGTTTGTCTTGTTCGCTGCCTTATCAAACAGATTCACGGATAAGTGGCGCGGTTCGAGCGTTGCATCATGGATGCGGGTCTCTAGGCGCGGGCTTTTGGCGTCGGATCGCAACCACAAACAACGGAAAATTCTTTAATGTTCAGAGGCTTTTCGGATTTGTGCCAAGTAGCTGCTACTGATGCTGCAGCATGGTAACACGAAATTTTGAACAACTTAAGATTTAACAATAAAAAGTAAACTAGCAAAAGTAATTGCAGTAAAAGACTATTGCTTAATTGCACGAAAGCAACGACTCTCAAAATCCACCGTTGCGGCTTTTCTTATCATTCCCAGTTCCCTCGTCAAATGCTGCTAAATTTATCCCAGTTCCATTTTCCGATCGCACTATCTCAGAGTCGCAGCTGGCTGTCACTGGGGGCGTCACTACCGTTCATGTTCAACACCTGGTTTGCACAGGTGCGCGCGAGACTGTCTTTCTCTCTGGCTGACGCACGCCGAACCGTATGCCTGTACTATCCAGCCTTTCGCGATATTTGACCTTTTGTGTCTTTTCCGCAGGTGTTAGCCATTTTTGAAGAGCACGAAGATTCGACCGAAGCCATCACCGCCTTTGTGGAGCCGTTTGTCATCCTGCTCATTCTCATCGCCAACGCTATCGTCGGAGTATGGCAGGTGAGTTCCACGGGGAGCATCGTCCGGCAACACGTTCCACCGCCGAGAAGCGGGCTAGTTATGTAACCTCTCCCACCACTGCGAGTTGCCGAGGCCGTGCGTGTTAGGAGGCGAGATCACGAACAGTCGTAGTCGTGACATCGTAATCGTGACGTACCACATGCACTAGTGTTGAGCTACGTGGTCCGGCCTACCACCAGTGGCACGCGATGCGTCTCGAGTTCTCTCGGCACAGCCAGCATGACACGGCATTTGGCGGCGGTGATCGTTAATGGGGCGCGCCGCGGTCGCCTCTGTCCAGACTCGTCATCTAGAATGACTGTTTTCGTGGGCACGACAAACGTTCGGGCGGCGCCTGGCCCCGTGTCGAACCATTGTGTGTTGGCGTGACGTGGAACCTGGGACAGCGGATAGTGTCTTTCCGCTACCGCCGCGTTGTCGATCGCGTAGCCACGTGGCGGGTGGCAACTAGACCCATTCAGCGGCGACTCGGCTGGACAAACAGGGAAAGACTGGCGCTTTACTCGCTGGTCCACTCGCTGGGCCGAACAGCGGTGCACTGAATATACACACACGCGCGCACCCAGTGACTCGGGCGGCACACGCGGCTGGCGGGCGGCTGGGGTCGCACCGGCTCGGGCGGGGGCACTCGTGGTATTGACGGCGCCGGCCGATGACCTTGCCACTCCGGAACCAGGGACCTGTTTGTAGAACGGTCCTGGTACCGGCAGGAGGGAGGGGATGCCGCGGCTGGCTTCCGTCACTGCCTGACGCCTCGGTAATGAGATGGGAGCTTTGCGGGCTTCGAGGACGATAGTTCATCTAAGGTGAAGTTTCTGTTAGAATGATTTAGGAGGTGTGATTTAAATGGATGTCACGTTCGAAATGGTGTGATCGTCGGGCGGTGGCATATCGCTCAAGAATGGCTATCGCGAGTGACGCGGCGGAAACAATCGATTTGACACGCGACACCGACATCGCACTCCCGCTGTCCTCAATCGCGGCGTATCTTCTACACTGCCGGTCGTCGAGTGGCTGCCACCAACCGCCACATGTGGTGGCCAACCCGGGTACCATCAGCTGGCAGGAACCACTGCGGAAAGTTCGCGAAAATGCGTCCACCGCGGCGCGTTGTCTTTGTCAGCGACCGAGTGGTATCGACCGAGCTCGGAGAGAGGGGAGGGTGGCCGAGAGGGCGGGAGGGCGGTATTCAGCAGCACGTGCCCTGCCTGCTCTGTGTACGGGCAGAGGCCGTGGGCGGCTGTTGACCGCCTAACGCGCAGTTGTGTCGCGCGGCGCCGGCGTGGGGCCACACCCCGGATCTGTCCTGGCTAACGATGTCCGGGCCGGTGACCGGTACCAGAGCCAGTCCCGGCGCATCAGCGCTGACAGACCCGGGAGAGCTGGCAGACTGGGAGAGAGGAGTGACCGCGGGAGAGAGGGAGAGGAAGAGAGAGGAGTGGCCGGGTCACGTTTGGGAGCCGCTGGCGGCCGCTGTGAGCCGCGCCGTGCCGGAGCTTACGACAGAGTACTCACTGGGCTGTTACTATGCCGATCGGGTCTTGTTCACCCTGTTCAGCTGTAGCGGAATGGTCCGAACATGAATCCAGACTAAAACATGGTGCAGAGCGGCCGCTCGGTATATCACCGGACTTACCGCGGCTTCCCTAGAGACGGCTCAGCCATCGCAATAACTGAGCCACTCTGCCCTTTCCGCTCCAGGTCATCCTTCTGTGTTTTGCGGCTGGATGCGCCTTTGTCTGCGGTTCCGCTCACCCCGATCCCTATCGCCCGCTCCGCTGCGCTGGTGACGTCGCCCCAGCCCTCCCCGTTGTTCCGGTGTGGGTTTCCGCTGCGCCTGTGTTCGATCCCCGGACCGCGGCTGTGCGACAGCTCCCTCCGTGGCCGCCGCCGCCCGTGAGCCTCTTATCGCCGGTCACGCGGCCCGTGACGTCACAGCTGGCGATTGTGACGTCATCGCCTGCCGGCTGCGGACCTGGAGCACTACGTGCGGTGCGCTGATTGGTGCACGTATTGCGATGACGTGCGTTGAAAACAAGGGATCGTCCTGACGATAGAAACCCCCAGGCGGGACACGTCGGGGTTGCAGCAGAATAGGAAGGCGACCGTGAAATAGGGGCGTGTATAGTAAAGCCGCGATACACGTCATCGCCCGAGTCGGACTTTGTACACGTGTCGGCCGTTTGAAGGTCTGTGGCCGGCGGGTTGAGATCGTCACTCTACCTCCGCTAGGAGGGCGGGGATTCCACGAGGTTCAGCTAATGAAAGGCCGGCTGGAACGGACGAAATGAATCGCCTCGGGCGGGACACGTCTGCCTGTCTGGAAGGGCAGGTGTGTGCGCAGTGCTTATACAACCGTAGCATGTGCGTCATGCGCTGGAATATTCCGCTACGTGGCTATACTCTACTGGGCCATACTGCGTTGTGCTATAACGCAGTACTTCTTTACCGTTCCACGTTTTGGTTGTGCTCTGATGATCCCCCGTATCGATGGTCGATGTGGGTGGTGGTTTCCAGGGCGGCCCGGCCGGCGTCTTCGCACCTGCTGCCAACACTGGCTGCTGCATCCAGTTGGCTGGCCGGTGGAATGTTTGGCACCGCGGCGCTGTGCTGGCTCGGAGCTCAGTGCCGGGGGCGGTGCGGGGGATCGGGTCCTCTCTGCCGGCCGGTGAAAGGTCGCAGGGAACATTGCGGATGGAAGGGTGGAGGGGATACTGCTAAGGGGCGATGGTGGCGTCGGCGACTGAGCTCAGCTGGACTTAATTGTAGGGCGGGATGGATGCTGTTTGAATTTAGGTATCAGCCTCGATGTTTGGTGCAGTTCATAGCTGGGAATGATGCTCGGTGCAAGCTGCTTTACGGCCAACGGTATTGGTATTCATGATACTGAGATGGCCACTAACTTGGTACGAACTTCAAACTTCCTTCTGCCAATGGGGAATGTCCAACGACTCTTATCTTGGGTTCAAGTGCATTGCGAGATTGTACCCGATGACTTCACGAACGAGTTTGTCACGTCACCGCGACGTATAGTAGACGTGGCTAACCTCTTCAGACGTGGATAACGTCTTCAGACGTGGATAACGTCACGTAAAGTTTCTGAGTCACCACTGCCATGTGCGTTGGTCGATCAATTAGATCCCTTCCCTCGCTGACAGGGCTTCCGTCGGCACCAAGGTATTATGCCCGCGCCTGGATGAAGTCGTAGCTTTTATTTCGTAGTGTGAAACCTCGCATGCCCCTAGCATTACGATTCGTCCGCGGGAATTGTGGTTTCCATTACTGCAATTAGCCATGCTTGGCTCAATGGTTGTGTAATTGGGTCATACGTCGCGGCTTTGGAAACTATTTACGTCGGTCCAGCCAAGCGTCAGGCTACTCGGCAGCCCACTATCGCTGACTCCATCCATCACGGCTCATCATACCATGAACAGACCTTCACTGGTCAGTCGTGTCCAATACGTAGGCGGGTGTCCGAACTACCGCCCGGCGGCCGCAATTACCGCCTGTGTGCCCATACCGCCGGGTCGGTGTGAAGGTCTGGGAGAGCCGACCGGCTGACACCGGGCCACGATCGATGACTTCATCGCACGGCGATTGCCAGTGGCCGTGGCCGTGCCGCATGGGATGCCGGGAATCGGATTTGGTCGCCGCCGGGAGGGGAGTTTGGTGGGTTTGGGTGTCCGGCTCTGTTGAGGATCGGATTGGGGCGAAATGTCTGTGAGGGGGCGGTGAAGATGCCGTGTCGTGGTTTGCCGTGGCCTTGTGGCTGAGACGCGGGTGGCAGAGACACGCTCCCGCTGCAAATCATCGGTGACGGCGGCGGCGGTGGCGGCGGCACCTGCGGCACGGTCGGGTCACCGCTGACGCCCTCTGTCCCACACACGGTGGCCCGCTATCTCTGCAGGTCGCGGTGATCGCTATCATAACGAGCACGGCTGGTGGAGCCCGCAACGGCGCTGCAGCCGCGGCGAGCCGTGGGTGCGAGCTGCGGGTCAAGGGTGCGACTGGAACTGGGGCAGCGGGGACGGGCTGTGGGTTAACGCACGGTGGACTAGCGACGCTCTGTGCTGACGAGTTATGCCAGCGTGACTTTGGTATCAGGTATAATTTCTTGCTCGTCGCTGGTGGTCCTGGGTTCTACTCCAGCGAATTGAACAACCATTGACAACTGTTGACGAATATGGCACGTTGGCGCAATAGTTTGAGTCCGTGTCAATTTTCTACACCCATGTTATCTTGTTGGCTTTGCAGGCTGCGGACACGCCACGCATTGCGATAGCCGCCCGCGGCGGATAGGAATGGCTGACTTGCGGCCGGTTGTGGGGACCACGCTGGCCTTGGAGGACCACTGCGAATGCTGCTTGGCTCTGGGCACGAAGGGAATGCTTGAAGAACTCTGATGAATTTCCTTGACGACGGTGGAGCGCTGATATTGAGTTCTGGTGATGACAGCTTGTCCTGTAGGCGTTTCAAGTGGTGAACGGTTCTGTCAGCGCCATCGTGAACCCATGTGAGACGTGCTTTCAACAGACGCCAGCGCGAAAACTGGGGATTTTAGCGGCAGCGGAAATAATTGTTATGACGTTTACAGCGGATGATTATTTGGCCTGTTGATTGATCCTGCAAAGCAGGGGAGATCGCTGCCAGGAAGCTGGGTGCTGCAGCACAACATTACAGCAGATGCGACAAACATATCAGTTTGGCGCAGGAGTGTTTGGTAGACTACTTTGATCCATATACCCCGCTCCTTATTTCGGCTGCTGCCGAGGAAGAAAAACTGTGGACTTTGCACAATGCACAGCCTGCCTCACCAGTGCAGCCGGTTGCATTAGTGCCAGACTAGTGTCGCTTGCCTTGACGCTCTCCCGGCTGCGGCTGGAGGCGCGCGTGCTGATGCGATCTCCGACCGGCCCCGAAGCGTCTCCGGGTCAGGGGGTCACGCCGGTCATCATGAACCGAGCGAGCCTGGGAGACTCGACCCGGCGCCATGGCACGTTCACTGTAGGGGTGGGATGGGGGTAGGTGGGTCGGGTTAGTGTCGTGGCCGTGACCCGGTGTCCGATCTGATGTTGGGATCGCGGTGGGATTCATCCCCGGACAGGGACGGTCTTTGCGCCGTGTTCAGCAGAGCACGGAGGCGCCCTTATTTCCCCACGGGCCGGGCTGCGGTGACCTAGCCGCCAGCCCGTCCCCGCCCCCGCCCCCGCCCCGGTGACCTGGCGGGCGGGCGGGGAATGCTGCCGGTCGGCCGGCCGGCCGGCGCGGGCCCGCTGTCGGCGGCCGGCCGCTATTTTTACCGGCGCCGTCGGCCGATTGACAGAGGCGCGGCGCCCGGGCCGCTCTCCGAGCGGCGGCGCCGGGCGCCCGGCCAACGGAGCGACGACGTCGGCGACAGCCGCCGCCGGCTTCTGTTACGGCCGCCTTATAAGGTGCGCCGCCGCCGGCGCGGTCACCGTGGAAAGTGCCGCCGCCGTCGCCGCCGACGCGCGATGACGGCCGTCGGCGGACGGTGCCGACGGACCGCCGTGTCCCCCGGCCGCCGGGCGACGAGCGACGGACAGCGCGCCGACGCGGATCGGAGGCGCCGAGCCGCCGGCGGGCAAATCCGCCGCCGACGGCCGCCGAACGGCAGGGAAACAAACAGCGCCCGATGCACTGGGCACGCTCGGCCGCCCGGGGTGATCGGGCGTGTCCTGCCCGGTCAATACGCGCGCCATGCGCCGCCGGACGCTATGTCTGGCTGGCTGTCTGTCCTCCCCTCCCTGTCTCCCTCCCCGGGGAATCCGCCGGTCCCCGTGTTGTGACCGGCGGAATAACCGCCGGGACCGGACAGGACCGAGCTGCTTTGCATGTCATCCCGTGAGTAGCAGGCGCTATCAGTGCGGACGTGCCGCCTGCCGGCGCGAGCCGCCGCAGGGCAGGCTGCCCCGCTGGATAGTGCATCAGGCCGACGGGCTGTGTTTGTTTTTCTTGCCGGCCGGTGAAGATTGGGAGCGAGTCGCGCTCGTGCGCTGGTTTCGTGTCGATTTAGCTCGTCTTCCGGGAGTCGGGCCGGCGCCGGCCGTCCTCTGACCGACAGAAACCGATCCATCAATCGCTCCTCTCCGCCTCCGAACGGCAGCTGGGACGGTTGCTCAACATGAACTGTGCACCGCGGCTGCGTGCGGATAGCCGCGGCCGTGCGCCCCGCACGGCCGCCGGGCGTTCGCCACGACCGTCCTGCCTTATCGATGTAGCGGCACCGGGCCCCGCGCCGGTCACCGCTCGCCGTCCGTACACTCACACCGGCGCGGCGGCCAGCCGTTAAACTGGTTTTGTGTCGGCCCAAAAACGCGGCGGCGGCGGGCTCTGTGATGACGGTAGCAGCGATGACGCTGGTGGCAGCGCCTGTGCGTCATCAGCCGGACGCCGCTCGCTGATGCGGAATGACAGAAATGTTTGTTACGTCCGTTGCCGGCCGGCGTCGTTGCATTCTGTTCTCAACGGCTGCTAGTGTTACAGATACATACGGAAACCAGAAACATTGATATCCAATGGAACTACGAGTAGTGGATATTAACAGGAATAATGTCTCGGCCGGGTGTGGCGACCGGCAGTAAGGGCGTCGGCCGCGTGGCATTAGTTCCCCCGCCCCTGTGCGTGCCGCGATCGATGAAGCCAATGTCCGGACGCGCCTGGCGACTGCGGGGAGGCGCGTGGGCGCCGCCCGACCAGCTGGGTAGCAGCACTCCCCTCGCAGCTGGTGGCGATACCCCGACTCTGTGAGGGGAGGCCTTCATGGCCGCACCACGCCGGCGCTAACCCTCCGGCCGGATTAGATAGCCAAACAACCACGGCCATCTATCACCGAGATCGCCGTGACGTACACGAGATCCTATGACGTCATCGTGTCTGCAAATCGAGGCGAATTATCGCCGTCGTTTAATATGGGATTAGTGATGTGCTGGACTCGGCGCAGACTCAGGATGAAAGGGAGACCTGACTCAGGTGTATGGCTTAAGAATGAAGAAGCTACGATTGATTGCATTTACGCCGCAAAATAAAGCAATGTATTCCATTCCATTGGAGCTGTTGAAATATGCATGAGATGAGCAATCTGGGGCTTGGAATAAACATTTTGTTTTGTGTACCATTCACAAACTGCCCGAACAAAGCTAACTTTCACCGCAATTGTGCCTTTAGAACAATGTTTACTGTTTACAATGTCAAGTTTTTGCCATGGGCGCGTCTTAACGAAGCTGTAAGTTTTGTATTGCCTCCGTGTCGTCATATGCTTACCGCGAAACTACCGACTTAATTCACGACTGCTTGCCTCAATATTTTTTGACGAATGTTACTTCGCTATAACCTGTCATGTTGTGGTTTTATCGCCAAGTTTTTCTTTCTTCACTCATTAATGTCACCATGTTACCACCACTACATTGGCGACCGGCGACACTCATGTTCCCCACACTCTCTCCAATGGTTACTCTACCACGTCGACCATGACCCCCTTCCACTTCTATCTCTCCTCACCACTCCTAATTCCCCCTTATGACGGTAATCCTGCATTATTCTGATGTTTCCCCTTCTCCCTGTGAGCTTTTTCGTGCTCCCTTATCTCCGACCTTCCCTCATTCTCTCCATGTCTTCCCCACTCTCCCCCCAGCCCATCTCTAACCCGTTCTCGCTTCTTCGTTTCTCAGGAGCGGAACGCCGAGAGCGCCATCGAGGCTCTGAAGGAGTACGAACCCGAGATGGGCAAGGTGATTCGCACCAACAAGGCCGGTGTGCAGATGGTGCGCGCCCGCGAGATCGTCCCCGGTGACGTCGTCGAGGTCTCCGGTACGTGATTGGCTGCCGCAGCGGTGTGCTCGCTAGACGCGAATAGTGTTATGTGTGGTAAGGGAGTTGCTGTAATTTATGGTTATCTTGTTTCCCTGACCTTTTTGTTTATTTCATTTCCAGTTATTATTTTTCATTCTTTTACCATCTCTTTCCCATTCGCAGCTCTCATATGCAGTTAACTTTTGACGGTGTTGGCCCCAGACCAACCATTGTCGTAAATACGGGTAATTATCATCGATGATTGTGTCAATTATCGCATTAAACGGGCGGTGTGGGTGCGACATTTTGCTGTAGCTGTTTTCGGTCTAGACTATGGATATAAACCCAGCATAAACTGCTCTCAATGAAGGCTGTGACCTACAAAGTCACTTCTGAAGGCTGCGCGAAATTGGAAAGACGTGATGGAGTTGATTCAATAGCAACAAATGGCTGCAAGTGTAGCTAGATCTTAATTGCGTTTTCTTGGAAGTGTAAAATGACGCTTTGCCTTAAATTATTGTCTCTAAATGTCAAGGCCACTGCTCGCTCCATCAGAAATTTGCAGCGCAATAATAATTGAGCGGCTCTAATGATCACACATTGCATATGCTGACTCTGGTTCATAAGTATTTCTAAGCATTATCTATTAAAAAAAAAAACACACACACACACTCATAGACCCGCTAGTGTAAATCGGAAATACAGTCAGTGGTGTCAAATTGGAATTTATTGCTCTAAGAGATCGCCTAGAGACAGACTTTTTGTTCGTCTTCTTTTTCTCTTCTACCCCTGGCGCGTCGGTGGCACCGGGTTTTTGATGCCACCATCCCACCAGCTCCGAATATTGTTTTAGTGAATTAGTTCGTGTGGATGTGTTTGTTCAGGGCTCTGCGTCGTGTCTGTGGGATTGATGAGGACTGTTTGTGCTCTGGAACTGTCTCTCTAGCGGTGTTTGTGGAGCTTTCTTGCCGTGTCAGTCGATAACTTCCGAAATTGTTTGGAAGAAAGTCTAACTTCGCTTTTAACACGCTAAGAAAATCCTTGTCGAGTAGTGCTGGGTTTCATATCGACGTTTTATGTCTCTTATATCGGTTGGAGCTCTTCAAGCTTATAGCAGTCTTATGGGCGTGGTTTGGAGCCTCTAGGACGATTTAGTTTCATGACCCATCCAAGACTGCATTCTAGTCGTTAGTGTTACTCTGTAGTGGGACCACAACCTCTAACTGGAGTTGAATACCCGCCTCCGACGCGCGCTCAACCATTACGAACCAGCTGCAACACGTTGTGACCTATTTCGCCTCTGACCTGTGTCCTCCCCTCCCACAGTCGGTGACAAGATCCCCGCTGATCTGCGCCTGATGAAGATCTTCTCGACCACGCTGCGCATTGACCAGTCGATCCTCACTGGAGAGTCTGTGTCTGTGATCAAGCACACTGATCCCGTGCCCGACCCGCGTGCCGTCAACCAGGTACGTTTGTCTCTGTGCTGTGGGTGTGCTCCTGTTCCCCGCCCCTGACAGGGAACGGCGATATGCGCGTGAGAGTGACCCCTGCATAGATGAGATCGGGAGGCGATAGAAAAAGAGGCGGGTTTTGTGAAGCTGGATAGTGTTTGTGAGTAGCTGCGATGGTTGGTTGTCGCTAACCGGCATGAGTGTGATATGTAGTTGATGTGTACTTCGTGCATGGATCTTGAAGGGTTCAAAATTGGTGGCTGGAAATGATTGATTGAGCCTTCTGAATTTTAATGCTGAGTTGTTGATTTATGGCTCAAGCCTCAAATGCATTGAGTAAACATCAAGGTTTCTAATTTTTAGGACTGACAGCACTGATTTTGATTATATTTTACTCCGAGATATATAACAAAAAAGGACAGATGAGTTATGGCTGAATCATTTAGTTATTGTATGGAATACTTTATCATGCGAACTACAATTCGGACATTAACACCCTTCTTTGGGAGAAATGACCGTCTTGAATGATCTGTTCAGCTGTAAATTTCTAGAGGTAGCTAGCTTAGCTGAAATGGCTGCCATCATTGTAAATGTGCGCGCATGTGTGAAGGATACTTTTCATGCAATGCCTATTTGATCTACTGACGAGCGATCATTTTTACGTAAGATACCTTGGTACAGTTGATTGATTGGGTTCTGAGGCGTGCGGTGACGAATTGCCGTGTGTGACCCCGCTGGTATCAGCCCCACCCCTCTCCCCTACCTCAGAGTGTCACTAACCCCACGGCCCGACTGGCGGCCGAACCCGCACGGAGTGCCCCCTACCCTGCCCCCGCCCCGGCCGCCCCTCGAGCGGGCGGCACCGCTGACTATCGTCTCTTTCTCTCTGTCTCTGTCTTTGCTCGGACCGGCCAGCCGGCCTCCGGCGAGCCTGCTGAGGAGGGCCAGGAGGGCCACTCCAAGGCCAGGGCCATCATCCAGGTAAAGACGCCACCCGCCGCTCTGTCTGCTTCGGTCCCGCACACTGACTCGTGTGCCGCGCACACACGCATACACACACGATGCCTCCGGGTCGCCATCGCTTCCTGCCGGGGTTTACAGCGCTTCCGAACGGCTGGGCCGGCCGCCGCTGCTCGGGACGCTAGATTCCAGTCGGGATGACCTGTAGAACGACGTAGATTCCTTGTAGAATTCATCGGACTCTGTAGATTCCAACAGGTGAAGGAGTCAGCGCAGCTGGGCTCGCTGTTGTCTGAACAGGTATCTGGACGCCACTGATCCTTCTCTTGCAGCGGGGAGCGGACGAGGAACCACTAACCGCCCGCCGCTGGTGCCCGCTGGCTAACAGTGGTGCCGGTGGTGCTGCTGGTGACGCTGGTGCCCGTGGTGCCGGCAGTACTGCCAAGTCTGGTGGTGGCTTCATGTTGTACATAAACTGCTCGGGCCGCGCGCTGTGTGTAGAGAATTGGCCAGACGCCGCTTCGGTTGCTTCTTGTCGTGGCTAGACGCCGCCGCCATCACCTCTGCCGCGACTGGCAGTGCGGTGGTGAGGCGGTCCTTCGCGTAGAACGCTTGGTTGTGTAGCTAGATCGGTTCTGCGCGCAGTGTTGGCTGGTTGTTTGCTGTTGGATGACGCTGTCTCACTCGATGTTGTGTCTCGCCCATGTTTAACGCAAACTTGTTACGCTCGAGCACCGTTTGCCGTGTTGGTACAAAAGTTCCTTGTTTGAGCGTGTCACCTTACGATCAACGAAACCACAGTGTGATCTGACATGCCGTGACCATGCTGTCGACACGCGCTCTGCCGCCGGTGTCCGTCCCCTCCCCGGTACCTCTGTTTGACATGTGTCCGCCTCCGCCGCCGTCCGCAGGACAAGAAGAACATCCTGTTCTCCGGCACCAACGTGGCCGCCGGCAAGGCTCGCGGTATCGTCATTGGTACTGGCCTGAACACCGCCATCGGTCAGATCCGTACCCAGATGGCCGATACTGAGGAGATGAAGACTCCGCTGCAGCAGAAACTGGACGAGTTCGGCGAGCAGCTCTCCAAGGTTAGGAGGGAGAGGGCGTGGGAGTTTGGGAGGGGCTGGTGGGGTGTGCCTGACATGAATGTGGCAGGGATCAAACAGAGTAGCTGTTGAGGTAGGCTGGGCAAATTATACACGGAGTTGGTTTCTCTGGTGGTTTCTGTCTTGTTTACGGTACAATGTCCTCGGATCATTGCAAAACTAACATGAGTCGTACACACAGCTTGTGGCTGCTCATTTCCATTCCTAATAATATCAAGCATCGATTACACGTATTGTCGCCCTCGCTCTCCCATTTTCATCGCTAATGATGCGACGCGAGTTTCTGAAGTACCGACTATTTTTAGCTTACGGAGTGATCCGCGTCACCTAATGACACCGTTTCCGTCCCGCCTTCCCCAGGTCATCTCCATCATCTGCGTTGCCGTGTGGGCCATCAACATCGGCCACTTCAACGACCCGGCCCACGGCGGCTCCTGGATCAAGGGCGCCATCTACTACTTCAAGATCGCCGTGGCGCTGGCCGTGGCCGCCATCCCCGAGGGTCTGCCCGCCGTCATCACCACCTGTTTGGCGCTGGGCACCCGGCGTATGGCCAAGAAGAACGCCATCGTGCGCTCGCTGCCCTCTGTGGAGACGCTCGGCTGCACGTCCGTCATCTGCTCTGACAAGACCGGCACGCTCACCACCAACCAGATGTCCGTGTCGCGCATGTGCGTGTTCGCTGACGAGAGCAGCATGCACGAGTTCGACATCACCGGATCGACCTACGAGCCCATCGGAGATATCTTCATCGGTGAGTGGATGGGAGTTTTGGGGATCATCTGGGCTTTGGTTGGGGTTTGATTTTTGTGAGTGCGATTGGTTCTATTACGATCAATACGACGACGGTAGAACACCCGTAAGACGCTTTTATCATATCAGCGGGCAAATGCATGTCACAGCCGCGTTTCCGGGAATCATGGCTCTCCAGCACTGTGCGAAATCCATTAGATGATTAATGAGTGTGTGTTCAGTAATATGAGCGAGTCTGATCACGACCTGTCTGGGCTTGAACATGCCGATGTTGCGTGCATCTTTCGATTGGCCTCATTCAATGTTTGAGTCTCCCAATTTTGGCCTCGCTGGTGCATTACGAATTACAATAGACCTATACACGTATCTTGAACTTTTTCATACTGTAATATTAAACAGGCATTTCAGTAGCCCGGCCTGCCTGCCGGTGCTCTCGCCACATTCCCCCGTTGTCCGTGCCTTTCGCTTCCTCTTCATCTCATCACCACATTCTTTTCTGTTCGTCAGGCGGTGTGAAGGCCAAGATCAGCGACTACGAGATTCTGCAGGAGCTGGCCACGATCTGTGCCATGTGCAACGACTCCTCCATCGACTACAACGAGTTCAAACACTGCTTCGAGAAGGTGGGCGAGGCCACTGAGACCGCCCTGGTGGTGCTGGCGGAGAAGATCAACCCGTACGGCCTCTCCAAGACCGGCATGAGCCGCCGCGAGGCCGCCATCGTCGTCAAGCACGATATGGACACCAAGTGGAAGAAGGTATGGAAAGGGAGGGGAACGGAAGGGAGGGAGATTGCGGGCGGTTGTTGGTGTGATGGGGTGGGTGTAGGCTGCAGATGCGGCTCGATGTGGTGTGGTTGGGTAGTATTTAATGACCTGGTGGGGGCGTTTAGCTTTGAAGGTCAGGGTGAGAGAAGTGACGTAATAGCTAGTCATGCCCGTCTGGCTCCTGTTGGTATTCGGTCTATGTTGTTGGCGAGCCAAACCTCACTGTTGATCGAGTGATGTCATGAAAATGGTAAACGTTATGCTCCGTGGGGCTTTCCAAACTCGCCGTAATTTGGTTTAAGTCTGCCCTAACATGTTGGATTCCTGTGAAACACGACCTCACCCTGACTGATGACTGGCCGCATTTACTCTGACGTAGCATATCTATCACAATCCCTTGTCTATCACAAGGGATTACCAAATCACAGTCCTGAAATCCGTCCCGATAGTGTTGTCTAAAAGCAAGCCAACTCATCAATAACACTCAACCGTGCTGCATCAACGTCTCATTTGTTCGATGTGCCAGTAGCAAAAACCAATCTCTCGAATCCTTCGGTGCGGGTAAAAACTGATCCCTGGATCCCTCTACCAACAAACAATCCCCAAAACCATCCCTCACACAAACTCCCCCGCTAACTCTGCCCCCCTCCGCCGTTCGCAGGAGTTCACCCTGGAGTTCTCTCGCGACCGCAAGTCGATGTCTTGCTACGCTACCTCTCTGAAGCCGACCAAGCTGGGCACTGGCGCGCGCATGTTCTGCAAGGGCGCTCCCGAGGGTGTGATTGACCGCTGCACGCACGCCCGTATCGGAACCACCAAGGTGCCGCTGTCTGCGTCCATGAAGAACAAGATCCTGGAGCGCTGCCGCGAGTATGGTGTGGGCCGCGACACTCTGCGCTGCCTGGCTCTGGCCACCATTGATGCCCCGATGAAGCCTGAGGACATGGCTCTGGAAGATGCCACCAAGTTCGCCTCCTACGAGGTGCGTATGGGAGATTGACGTGGTTGGTTTGATAGTCACTGATATGGGGGGTGGTTTCGTGAGTGTAGCTCATAAGTCTGAGTAAAAACTGGCATTGACTAGAGTCAACCTAGTGATTCTATTCGATAATTCAGTTAACGTCAACCTGTTTCGCCTTACGTTAAAGTTTCTGTAAGTGGCTGATATAAATTGGTTTTCATTTTGCAACCTTGCCGGTTGACATTGTTTTATGTAATTAGAAGAACGATTCAATCTTATTTTCACTGCTCAGTGACTCGCATGTCATCCCTGACGGCCCCCGCTCCCCGCCAGGTCAACATGACATTCGTCGGTGTGGTGGGCATGCTGGACCCGCCGCGTAAGGAGGTGGCCGGCGCCATCAAGCGCTGCCGCAAGGCCGGTATCCGCGTCATCGTCATCACTGGTGACAACAAGGGCACAGCCGAGGCCATCTGCCGCCGTATCGGCGTCTTCGAGGAGGATGAGGACACGACTGGCATGTCCTACTCGGGTCGCGAGTTCGACGACCTTTCCGTGGAGGAGCAGCGCGCCGCCTGTGCCCGCGCCCGCCTCTTCTCGCGCGTGGAGCCGTTCCACAAGTCCAAGATTGTCGAGTACCTGCAGAGCATGGACGAGATCTCCGCTATGACTGGTGACGGTGTGAATGACGCTCCCGCTCTGAAGAAGGCCGAGATCGGTATTGCTATGGGTTCGGGTACCGCCGTGGCCAAGTCGGCCTCTGAGATGGTGCTGGCTGACGACAACTTCTCGTCGATCGTGGCCGCCGTGGAGGAGGGCCGCGCCATCTACAACAACATGAAGCAGTTCATCCGCTACCTCATCTCGTCCAACATCGGCGAGGTCGTGAGGTGAGAACTAAGGGCGATAATGATATGCATGTAGGATGCCTGGAGTTAAATGGTCACTGGTCAGTGCTATTTAGTTCGAGGGAAGGACGGTAAATGTTAATTTGGTGCTGGTTGGCACAAAAACTATGTTAGCTTATGGAGCAGGTCGGGCTCTAGAAAGAAAAATATGTTAAGACGATTTTTGGATGCCATTCTTCTTCGATGCCATTCGTGCGACGCGACACCCATCGGCCATCTATTGACTGACATTGTTTCCATCCCTCCGCAGCATCTTCCTGACGGCCGCCCTGGGCGCCCCGGAGGCTCTGATTCCCGTCCAGCTGCTCTGGGTTAACCTGGTCACTGACGGCTTCCCGGCCACCGCGCTCGGCTTCAACCCGCCCGACCTGGACATCATGGACAAGCCGCCGCGCTCCTCCAAGGAGACCCTCATTACCCGCTGGCTGTTCTTCCGCTACATGTGCGTGGGTACCTATGTGGGTGCCGCCACGGTCGGCGCGGCCGCCTGGTGGTACATGCTGGCGCCGACCGGACCCCACCTCAGCTACTACCAGCTCACCCACCACCTGCAGGTGAGAGACGGGGAGAGGTGGTGATGTGGTCTGGGTGGATGGGGAAGGTTGAACTTATTGGTTAGGAGGGAATCACGATACGGGATATGGTAGGCTGGTGTGGATAACCTTTTGATTTTGGCTCGGAACGTGAATATTCTGTGTTTATCTGATTTATTCGAAGTTGTATTTTCATCTGGTAGCGTTTTTCCTCATCGTTCATTTTATTTGATGACATATGCGTTACAGGTAATTCATCTCGGTTACTTTCGGGTCCCTGTACGGTTCTGTGTCGGGTGGCGCCACCGTTCTCCATCTCCTCGTACTCTAGCAGGGTTGGCATTTTGGCCGGCAAAAACTAGTTTATGCCATTTGCCGGTTTAAACCGGTTTTAACCGGCAAAAAGTGGCAAAAACTGGCAAAAACTCAGAAATATCACAATGCTATGCCTAGACATGATTTTGAACAGGGAACATTTTAAGGAGAATTCGGTGAAAGCTTTATGCTTTCAAACAAAAGTGACATTGACCATTGAAATGTTTCATACCTAACTCAGAAACATTTTCATGGGCTATCCATAAGGAGCTAGTAAGATGCCTTTTGGGGGTGACAAATGAGCCAGTGCAAGGGTGACTGGGTGAGTCCTGCACAATCAGAAGTGCGAAGAGTATCTGCCACTGAATTGATATGCGCACTGCACCACATGTCACCCTAGTTACCGTGGCCGCCTTGTCCCACTCTCCCCTTACATGGAAATAAATTTTGTTGTGGATGTCTACCGACATGCATAGACATTTTAAGGAGGGATAAGTAATGAGGCAACTTCAGAATGTTTAGTGCATCTATATAACTACCAGAAATGCATTTGTACATTTCAAATCCATTCCTAACTAGAAAAGTTGTAGGTTTGGCCATCTGAGTTTTAGCCAGTTTTTGCCAGTTCTTGCCACCAGGGTTTCTGCCAGCCGGTTTAAACCGGTTAAAACCACTGGCAAAAACCAGTTTTTGCCACCTCCTGCCAACCCTGTACTCTAGTGACCGTGTGTCTCTCCTAACCCGCTCTAACCTACCCCACTCACCTCCCACTCAGTGCGCGGGCGGCGGCGACGAGTTCCACGGCATCGACTGCGCCGTCTTCAACGACCCGCACCCGATGACGATGGCGCTGTCGGTGCTGGTCACCATCGAGATGCTGAACGCGCTCAACTCTGTGTCGGAGAACCAGTCGCTGCTGGTGATGCCTCCGTGGCAGAACTTCTGGCTCATCGCCGCCATCCTGCTCTCCATGTCGCTCCACTTCATGATCCTCTATGTGGACATTCTCTCGGTGAGTAAGCTGGGGGAGCTCGAGCTGGGGAGGGAAGGGTTTTGCTACAAGGACCATCAGGGCGTGGGATTGTGACGGTTCGTTACGGAATATCTAGTCTTGTCGTTAGAGTATATGTTCCGTGGTCCGCTGTTTGCAGTTTTACTTTTGCAAATGATCGTAAATCATCGACTTGCTTGGGTGCTCAGCGATGAAGTCGACGTGTGGTATTCATAGAATGTTGTGCAAGAGAGTGAAGACTCACGTATGTTGTTCCACAGAGATGCTTCTGAAGATGTAGCTTCAGAAGCATAAACCAGCTGTTTGTCGGTTTACGTAGATGTCATGAACCACTAACCTCTTGTCCACACTGCTTCTACCGATCCTCCTCGCAGCATCGACCGCCCGCCTAACTGGCCCGTGTCCGTGGCTGTGTTTTCAGACCATTTTCCAGATCTGTCCACTGAGCTTGGAGGAGTGGATCGCGGTGCTGAAGATCTCGCTCCCCGTGCTCTTCATGGACGAAACGCTGAAGATGGTCGCCCGCAAATACGCCGACGGTAATGAGGAATCTATACTTACCGTACCTCTGCTAGTGGCAGTCTGGGCGGTGTACGGATATTACTTTTTTGTTTCTACAGTTGTGTGATGGAGCAGGCGCTGTGATGCGGTGTGCCTAGGTGACCATTGGGGAGGGCGGGGCGGGGTGGGAGGGACACGACTGGGCGGCCGACGGACAGAGAGAAAGAGAGAGGAAGAGAGCGAGAGAGAGAGAGAGGGACCGAGGTACGTGCGCGCGTGTCGTGTGTGTAGCGTCGGCTATGAATGCTATCATCATGTGTGCCGTCTTTTAAATACCCGAGGTCCTGTACAGATAATCAGTGCATCGTCAGTGGGCGCGGGTGGCTGGGCAGCTGCTCCCCTCGCCTCTGGGCTGGATGAGTGGGTGGGTGTGTGCGTGCGTTTGTGCGTGTGCGGCGGCGCGGCGCGGCGGCTGCTGACCAGCGCCGCTCCCCGCCGCCCCCCATTCCGCTCCCACTAACGCCGCCGGGCCGTCCGCGCCCGACCCGACACACATTGACACATTCCTCCGTGCGTCCCTGTGTTCCGCTGAGTGGCCGAGTTTTATACCTGACACGCACCCAGCTATTTTATGCGTTGTTACGGCGGCCGGCTGGTGGGAGGCGCCGCGCGCCGGGCGGCGGACGCTCGCGCGCGCGCATCGTTCTCTCAGGCGTGGCCTCTTGTCTCAGTGTCGTTACTGTTTTGGTACTCGCGGTGTAATAAAGGCCGTGGTACGTGACTGACGAGTGTTTACCCTGCCCTGCCTAGTGTGCCTGACCACTAACGTTCTAAACGCCCGCCGAGACGCGGAGCTGTAGCCAGTAAAGAGACTAACCAACTAACGCGTGAACCTCACCTAGAAACGAGTGGGAGGATGGGGCCTCGCTTCATCGGCAATGAACGAAGGTGAGAGCCGGGGCTGGTTGGGAAGAGCAGAGATCGTAGAACTCAGTATGGCAGTAGTTTCATTAGCCAACCATGCTGAGAGTACAGCGAGGTGAGTATTGTAGACTTCGAACTAAACAGTACCTAAGCTAAAGCCACTCGCTGAGCTATTAAATGCGTAAGCATCAACGCGCTGTCAGTCTAAATAAGCCGTGATCTCACTACGTAAATCGTAACGCTTCTCTAGTCTGTGCTGCGTCGGTGTCTGCCGCTGTCGCGTGCTGCTCTGCTGGTCTAAATGCCTCAGATTGTCACTTTGATACATTATGAACCAGCAGGGCAGACGACGGAGTGGCTGTGTTGGTCGCTTTTCTCATCGCGTCTCTGCGCTCAGTACACTGTCTCGCTCACTGTTGTATCATGCGCAGCATATTGTCTCGCTCACTTCATTACTATGCGCTCAATAGGCCGTGTCGCTCACTTTCGTATTGTACGCTCAGCAGTCTCACTCACTGTATTTACTTTGAGCTCAAGTCTCGCTCACTCGTACTGTGCGCTCGTTACACTGTTCCTCACTGTCGTATATACCGCAGCATGACGGCTGTGGGGCGTTATCTTGTCGTTACGGGTCGCCACCCGACCTGTACGGCACGCCAGGGCTCTGCGGCGACGGGTTACATCAGACACACTGATGGCTCGGCATTCGGACATGTTTGTGGTGAAATTTGACAGAAAACGCAGTGAAATTTACCTGTAAAACTCGTGCAGGTTCGGATGATTCAGCCGAGCCGCACCTGGCCCCTGGGAACTGCGAGGGACTTTACTGGATCGGACAGTCGTGTTCAAATCGGCCAGATACATGAGGCTGCGGTCGCCTCGGCCGTTACCGCTGTGGCTTGGACGTCTGAGCCTCAGTTTTTGAAATTTCTCGGCCGTGTACACCCGCTGTCACCGCGGTTAATTATTGGGCTTCGCGGACACTTGGTTGCGAGGCGACCGGGCGCTGCCTTGCGCGGTATTTCACCAGTCAGACGACTGCGGGTACCGGCAGCGATGACCATTGCTCTCACGAGAAGCAAGATAAATTTGTCGTGTCCCAAATTGCCCAGCAGGGCCCTGGCCTACACACAGTCTGGCTCTGAGCTCATCGTTATTCCGTACCAAGTCGTCCGGCACGGCGCTCCAAAACAGAATCGACCAACGTTTGTAAATAATGGTGACGGCATTGTTTTTCGTAAATCTGTCAGGAAGTGGGTCATGCTATCAGCTATGCAGTCAAGTGCAATTCCAGCCCGGCAAACAGCTGTAATTTTGGTCGATTCCGTTTTGTGACGCCTGTCTCGTGTTGTGTCGTGTCGGTGTTGTGTTGTGCCGCCCTCGGGGCTCTCGCCGTCACTGTTCGCTGATGCTGACGCTGCCTTCTCTTCCGCATTATCCGACGTTGATATCTGGCTAATCTGCAGTGCTCGGATGCTAAACGAGGTAAGTTATCCGCTATTTCTCCCGGCAATTCGTCACATTCTTGAGCCTTACTATTGAAGCCGCCGATCTCAAATGTCTTCGTGATCGTTTCGTCTTCGTGGCGACTTTAAAATGCATATTGTATAATGCTATCGCTTGCTAAATAGAAGCAACAAGCAACGCAGCTAAGAAGTAGAGCACACGAGAGCTAAAAAGTTAACTGCCTAACCGCCTTGTGGTGTAAAATAAACGAGCTGCCGATAGCGGTGCGTTGGCACTGGACATTTCGGCTCGATGACCTAGAGCAACGCGTTCACCGTTCTAACCCTCCGCGCCCTCGCGGTTGTTCCCTGACCCTGAGCGCACTCTGGTGGCTCTCGGCTGACGCCCGGTCGTGTTTCAGCCATCGCATGGGGTGACCTGCGAGGATGGTGAGAGAGAGAGAGACCTGCACCGGTCAGCCGCTCCGGTCCCCGCGCCGCCCCCGACCAGCCGGAGGGCCCGCGCAGCCAGAGCCAGAGGCGCGCCCCAGCGGCCGCCCCGCGCAGAGAGAAAGAGAGTGCGAGAGAGCGTGTCAGAGTGAGCGCGCGAGTGAGACTGCGTCGGCCCGACCAGCCACCCGCCTGGTCCGGCGACCAACATTGGCCCTTCCGCGGCACGCCGCGCCGCGCGGTGCACGGAGCCGGAGACTGTGCGATAGGTGGCGCCCCCGAGCGCCAAGCTTCGTCCAGCGGGGCCCGAGCGCCGGCGCGGCCGCGCGCGCGCCGCCCCCGCCTGTGCGCTTGAATACACGCGCGACACTTGCACACGTGTACATACGGTTGTTATCCTGTAGATCGGGTCTTCGTGTCTAGTCATGTGAGTACAACCCCGACTCGTTGTCTCGGAAAGATGCTCAAACCCGCGCGCCGGGCCCCTCGCCGCCGGACAGCCGGGCCCCGGTGGCGGGGCCAGGCGCGCCGACTGGCGAGGGGGCGACCGTCCCCATCCGACCGCCCCCGCCCCCGCCTCCGCCGGCCGCCGCCCGTGCCGCCCTAGAGGCGCGCGGGCGGCGGACAGGGGAGATGCATAACACGTTATGACTTTGGAGTTTTAATAGAATTTATGATTTTATACGCGTCGCGCTGTTGGGAAATAGAAACGAAAAACATGGGGAATCGTGAGTTTCATTTGTGAGAGCGGAATCGTGGCTGATGTGTGTTCAGGAATCACTCGTAAGCCGTGTTGATGGCTGGTCTTCAAACATGTAACACACATTGCGTAATTTTGTTGCTAGTTCGGTGGCGGAATTCGTACGAGAGAGGTTGTAGCGGCCTGACATTGCCTGTTCCGTGAAACTCGGCGTCTGTGGTTTCTGCTTTCTACGAACACTTCTCTGTGACAACACGTGGCGGGACACTACTACTCTGCGCCCTTTCTCTGTTTGGGGCTGCCTTCTTGGAAGTGGAGTACCATGACCTGTCAAATGTCAACGACCTTAGTGACCTGTTTGAAACTTACCTACCTTTGTCGTCTTTCTTTGTTCGTAAAGCTGTTTGCTGAAGTTCAGGCTTGCATCATGCAAACACGCATCTGTGTTGACGTAATTCACCCACAAGCTCCAGAAACCGCAATCCCAAACGTTACAGCAAATTCTCATGTCGAAATTTGTCCACGCTTTCCCAGGTATTGTAGCGCTGTGGGAAAAATATAGCCCAGTCCACGGTAAAATTCCTCGCCAGACGCCTACTTCCCAGTTCCCACACACTAGTGACACGTGGATGTCTGGCTAAATAAAGTACGATCTTTGTGGTAAGCCTCTGAGCTGGGCTCAACCTGTTGTCGCCCGGGATAAGACGCGACAAACAAGTCACTCCGGTAATCTTAATTGCAAAAACCATGAGTGGGCACCGAGTACGAGACAGGCCTGCGGTGGTGGGTGACGAGCGCCGTATCGCGGTATCTTCTGAAGCCACAGCGGGGATCGGGCAGTGCTCTGAGCGGAGTGGGCTTACGACTGTTATGAACAGACGGGCTAATGGTGTGGTCTGGTGGTGCAGAGGTTATCGATAATTATAGGGGTCATTTACTAAATTTATCGTATCATCAATGAGTTGGAGGTGAGGTGGTCAGATTGCTCTCTGTTGTTCTGATGGGTTACTGCTACTTAGCCGGCCACTGAGTTAGGTAGGTACTGTTCCGGTTTGAGACTGAGATCCCTCAGTGTGAGTATGTACATAGGTAGGTACTAGGTACCCATTATTCCAGTGGGACCCCAGACCTGTGGTCGGTGACGGCGGCCGCGGTACAGGCCAGATAAGGATTGAGACGAACTTTGTTCGGTTACGCCGACTTAATAAAGGACAAAAGGTTGTTAACTTCGAAGTTATCTGTACTTGTGCGGCCCCCGCCATCTGGGAGCTGGTGATAATTGGTTAGTTTTTCAACATCCGTGATTAAAAATGATTGCCGCACCGGCGGCGGATCAGACATGGTGCGATCATGGGATTGGCAGCGCACGGAGCGATGCAATCTTCTAATGACCATTTAACCGCACATTAGTTGGCGCTCGCCATAACATGACGTTATTGTAAAATCACACAACTAATTTGTTGGTCGAGAAATAAGTTGGCGTGAAAATGCAATGTGTACGTTACTTCTCAAATTCAATTTCGGGGGACATCAACTAGCTTTCTATTACTCGACAAGGACAAATATATTGGCGAGACGGTCATTATTAGTAACACTTAGTACGGACGGTGCAACGAGACGGTCCTTAGTTGTCCCTAAAACTCGACCCGAGCATTCCTCGAGCTAAGTTCAAATCCCGATCGCTGTGACCTTAGGTGTTCTATTCAGCGCTGATTAAATCATCAAAGTCTCACTCCGCACGTGCGCATTGTATTCCGATTAGCCGTCGCCGCCTGCCGGTAGCTGTGATGACTTTATCATTCCTGCTCCACAGATTTACGCAGAATTCTCTGAAAATTGAAACGAAACCTTGCCGAGGACGGCCTCACAGGCTGTAACCCTCTCCCAATACCGTCTCCAGCCTCCGGGTGGAGGTGGAGTCGTGCAGGAGGGGGAGGGGGGGGGCGTACCCTCTGCCGTCGCCCGTCCGTCCAATATGTGCCAGGGTCAGCGGCGCAATGCCAGCGCCCTCTGCCGGTCCCCGTCCTGACCGCCTGCGTGGCGCCCTCTAGGTCCGACACGCGTCCTGCGTAGAATACGCGAGGACTGTGGCGGAGGATTATGCAGAGGGCATCGAACTCCGACCCTGGAGGTGGTGTCCGTCCGTTGCTTCCGACCGAAGCCACTAAAAATACGAAGGCCGCACGGTGAAGTCTGACCGAGCGTTCGGGATTATGTCTTATCTGCCAGTTTGGTAAGGAAGTGGCGCCGTCGGTGGCTTCCGAAGGACGAGGCGGCGAAGGCCAGGAGGCCCATGCGACTGGCCGGCTACAGCAATTGTGGTGTGATGCAGTCAAGTTGTCAACATACTGTTGCATCTGTCGGGTGTAGCAGACCTGTTGAGTGTCAACTGATCGATGTGAAGGAAGCCGTACAACACGGAAGCTCGACGACTGACGTCATCCAGTTGAAACAAGCCCACCGTTATACGGAGGGTCTGGAAGCTTGTCTCGCTAATTAATAGAACAAATCCACTTTGTCACATTTTCCGTGCAGCTACACAACATAATCTCCAAACCGCTCAGCCTGGGAAACCTGTTGAAATAATCCTGTCAGCACTCAGCAGTAGCTGACAGTCGCTACTCAGAAGGTGTCGGCCCAACTTACGTCACCTATTAGACGAAGTCGGAGCCGAGAGATCCCCTTACCTCCTTCATATGCACAAAACAAACTGAGGCTAATGGCAAAAACAAAGCGCAGTTGGTTCTTACCAATCCCCAGCGAACACGGTTCAATCCTCCCGCATAAATTACAATCTGATAGCTGTCATCAGCCAGCCAGCTGCTGTGCAGTGCCTGTTTCCTTGCTGAGTTTGCATGTCGGCGGGGTACGGGGACCCATCTGATGGTCAGGGTCACCCTCCATTGGTAGGCGTACGGTGGCATAGTCGAGCATTGCATCATCAGGCGACCCCGATTGTGATCAGTCGGTCAGCGGTCAGTTCTATTGTTAATGAGCAATGGTCACTGCATGGTCAATAAAATATAAGAGAGGAGTGGCTGACGGTCAGTAGTCACCGGTCAACATTCAGGGGCCATAACTGGTTATTAGCAGCGCTAAGGATTCATAGGTGATTCCCAGTGGTCAATGATCGGCGGCCAACTATGTAGTTATAGGAAATCAGTGATCAGTGATCCTCAACGTTCAGTGGTCTGTGGTCAATAACAGCCGTTTTCACGACGACCTTCTGGACCTGGTACACATTTAGTGCAGATTAGGTGCGAACTTGGTGCAGATTTGGTCAAATTAGGTTCATTGTGTTTCTTGAAAGTTGTCCGTTTGGGTTGCACATGTGCTTATACATATACCTACCTCATTTTTAAATTCCCAGACATTATTTTCTATAAAACACTGAAATAGATTCACGATATATGAAGATATTTGTTATAAAAGAGATTTGGTGCAAATTTGGTCAAATTAGGTGCATTCGCCAAATAGCCCTTCGTGAAAACAGCTATTCGGAGGTCATCATTCAGCTCGGTCAGTGACCAAAGGTCAGCAGTCAGGAGTCGTTGGTCAACAGTCAACTTTTCAATCAACTGAACGGTAGAAGTAACCAGAAGGTCAGTTGTCATTATTCAGCAGTCTTCAGTCAGAAAGTAGTGAGTTGGTTGACGGTTTATAGGTTTAGTCAGCGATTAGCGGTCACTGATCAGTGGTCGGTGGTCAGCGCCAGCCCCCAGTGATCAGCGATCAATGATCGGCGGCAAGATAGGTAGTCAATGTCGTTATGTAAGGAGCCGAACAAAGTTGCAAGTTGTCCCTCCCCGGCTCCCTTCGCAAGATCCGTCTATACCGGCCTGCCGGCCATACCGGTCATACGCTGGAAATCAGGGGTCAGGATGGCTCGTGGGAGCCAGCCGTGCAATCCAGCTAGTTAGTCAGCTTTTACTGTCCGTGTTTTTCCACTAGCTGTTCTAGTCAACTGTGACTGTGAACGCTCCCGACGGAATTCACATGTATATGTTACAGGCCGTATGAAAACTCAGTCCGTTTGCAAACGGCCTGACCCAGTCAGGCCGTTTGAAAACGGCCTGAAATAGCCGGCCGTTTGCAAACCGCCTGAAATATCAGGCCGTATGAAAACGGCCTAGGCAGTTTGAAACGGTCTAGACAGTTTGAAAACGGCCTAGTCAGTTTTCAAACGGTCTGGCGAAGTACAACAGCCTCTGAAGATTGAACTTAATGGATCCAGGTTGGTCGATGATCAGGTTGCATCCATGTGAATGCTTGCGCATTCCATGCCGAATGACTCGTCTACATACGTCGAACATTTTCTTACTGTGCTGATGCTCGGCCCGGCCGTTTTTCGACGATATTACTAATTATATAAGTCCACGGTCCGCCTGTGTACGGCCATCCAGTTGATGGAGCCTGGTGAAGCCACTACTGGTGAGGTCTGGTGAAACGTATCACTACAAGACTCACCGATTATTTTGCGGCATAAAACGCCGGAGCGTGCAGTCCAGTTCACATCAGTGGCGCGGGAACCGGGACGGGGGGGGGGGGCTATCGGAGGCTGAGCCCCCCCCAGCTGGAGGAATCGAAATCGGAAATCTACCAACATAATTTCATAGATTCATACATAGGCGCGGGAACCGGGGGAGGGGGCAGTGGGGGAAGTTTGCTCCCACAGCTCTGGGGCCGTGGGGGCGGTGCCCCACTCAGAAAACACTTTGAGAACATTTTTGAATAAGGGCTCATATGAGTGCCAAAACAGGGCTCAAATCTGTATGATTTTAAAATCGGGATCAGTTAGGCGCCCTTTTCGGGCTCAAAGTACATTAGCCCCGAAAGCGGCATCAGTTCGTCTTCCTTTTCGGGCTCAATTCGAGCTGCGTTTTAGGGCTCCATACGACATTCCGCCATTCCGAGGGCTGTTCGGCTGCGCAGCCAAAATGAAATATGCTGCAGCACGCATGCGCAGTGAGGACTTCGTCGCCCGTTAGTCCCGCCCACACCACTGCGTCACCGGCTGTGTGACGTCACCTACTGAAGCATGCTTCGTTTTCCTGCAGCACGAAATTCGGTGCTGCAGGAGGCGAAAGTGGCGCGGATTAAAGTTTACCGTCCGATATTTCTTATTGTAAGCGGTTTGTATGTTGTTTTTTGGATATCATTATCACTCTTTTCGGTGGCACATTGCTATTAACCACATTTGAACGCAATTTAAACGTTATTTGAGCGATAATCACCAGTCCACCCGCGCAACGGTTCGCCGCGTTTGAAATAGGCTGCAGCGACGCTCGGCCGCGGCGTGCCGGCGGAGAGTGGGCGGAGCCACTGCCAGGCGGTTGACGTCACCCAAGTATGACGCACGCAGCACAGATCTATGCTGCAGGAGCCCGAACAGCCCTCCGTCTTTTGCTGTTTTCAGTGCCATGTGTTGGTGTACCTACCGCCGTGATTTCAAAATGAATGGTAAGTTATTAGTTATCAGTTATCGCTATCTTTTAGAAAAAAATCAAGATGTTGATGCTCATGCCATTTTAATCCCTTATCAATTAAAATTGTGGTGGCATTTGTTCAGAAAAGGTCTGATCTACAATTGTGGCGCCGTTGATACGAATACGCACGGGTTTGATTTTCGTTTTTCTTGTATTTGCGCCACATGAAAGC